ACACACACACACACACACACACACACACACACACACACACACACACATAAAGGCTGACATACTCACATCTTTTTGAAGCACAGTAGCTTTCACAGGCTGCTTGTCTTTAGTCTGACAGTCCAAGCTGTGGCCTGTGGAGCCGTTCTGCGACTCCTTCCTCCTCCTGATGCTGCCTTCATCCATTTCAGTCTGCTGGTGCATGAGCAGACACAAATGAGTGCATACATTCTACACCAGTTACACCTACACCTTTTTTTTTTTACAGCACAAGTTGCGTTAGTGTATTTTGCATAGTGAATGTCTCTAATCTAATCTAATCTAATCATTGATAAGATTTTCAGAGCAACACTGTGTTCTTTTACCAGTAGTATAAAATTCCTCTCATTTAGCTAAACAATAAGGCTCACACGAGAACAGCAACTCAGGGAAAATCCACCAAATCCATTAGAGTTAATAGTTAATCCTGTGATGTTACTGATTTGTAAAATAGGTTTGTTTGGCTTTGTACAGTGTTTCTTTTGGTTTCTAGATATAAATAAATCCCCGTGGCATAGTGGTTCTGAGCCACTAATCTAGCCACACTAAGGGATATCTTAAACAGCATTATCTGTTTATGGAGCAGCTCATAAAAGGGATGACAGATTCAGTCTTTTAGAGGGACTTCGTCTTCTGAAAAGCAGCTAAATTCATCTATTTCAATTTAAGGTGAATTCTCCCTTTGCTGTAAGAGGATGATCATAAATTCCAAGAAGTCATGCACCTATAAACCATTGTTTGTGTGAAGATTGTAAATCCCAACACTGCAAAGTTCAGTACAAGTATTGTGAGGCAATTTTTTTTTACTTATGGAAGGATAGATTGATACTGTAGATAGATAGAAACAAAGAAAGATCAGTAGACATATAGAACTGCGAGTGAGACATCAAACACAGTGATATGGTAAAGATCATCAGGATAATGTTTAACTAACAATTGCTGTGTAAATGCATAATGACAACTCCTTGTCTTGTTCACTACAGTTGAAGACAGAAAGTTGATTTAACGTAATGAGAATCTTTTAATTTGACAATGGCTTTGTTAACATACTAATTGAGATATTATTATAAATACATCAATACATATGTTAACACATTTTTCACTTACATATGACGAAAACCACCTCAGTGATGCTCCATGAACCTCAAATGTTTTAAGTCCAGGTACAGTGAACCCACAAATAATACTGGGCCAAGTTAAGTGAAGGAGAATAGGAGCAGGAATGTCTGATACAAGTGAAAACCTGGGGCTCCTTGTGGCTGAGCTCACTCCTCCAGTGGGAGGTTTCCAGATCTTATTGGACATCCTGGACAGCCCTGCACGAAAGGGAGGTGGGTAAAGACAGGGCAGCAGAGTTGCTAGACACTTACAGGACAGTTTCAATTTTCAACAGAAAACTCTGAAACACTTCATCCTCTTTGAGCTTGCCTAGCCTGACTTCCTTCACAATGCCTCTTTGATAAGGATATATGACACCCCTGCATGTGTGTGCATGCACATTTGTGAATGTGTGTGTTACATTACCTTTCTACTCTGCCTCTCCTTCTGCTCTCGTCTCTTCAAAGTCTTTCTCAACTTGTTTTTAACGCTGTAATATATTCCTTTCTGTTTATTTCCTGAACAGACCATTTTGTCAGTGTATTAAAAAAAGTGTACACAAAAATGTGCAGATCTGTGGATTGTTTTCTACAGCATTGAACGGTTTTGGGGGCATGCTATGTTACATTTCTTAACATTAAAAATCAAAGGTAGAAACAACTTCAATAATTCAGCCTTTGATAAATACGCAGGGTGAGTATGATATAGTCTCAGTGATAAACAGAAATAAGTATAAGGTTTGCACAGTGCACTATTTATTCACACTATGTATAATACTGTAAAAGTAAACCTAAGTCTAAGTGGATCAAAGGTTACTGATTCAGGGTTCAATTTCTGTGTTTAGGCACTTAATCTCAAAGATGACATTCTCAAAAAAAAGATGCAGGACATGTACGAATAGTAAAGTTACAAGAATCTAGACTATTTACTGTGTAATCTGCTATTGATTTGTAGAACTGACTTACTCTGGTGGCTGCAGCAGCTGAGGCACTGAAAAACAAGGGACATTGTTTTATGAAGCCTGTAAGAGAATTTGAACAACTGCTCATAGTAATCTGCTAATACATTGGCATATGAACTCAGTAACCCTGAGAACAATTATTTATGACCCCAATAATAGTTCATCGGGTCTAAGAATCTGACAAAGTGCATTTACAGCAACAATTCAGGCTTGAGCCCTTGTAATCTGCTTTCAGTGCTGCATATCAACTAACAGAGAAAGAAAATATTCCCTAAAAGTTTTTAAATAGTTTGTGACAAATCAGAACTCATAGGCTGTAATTATTTTGTGGATTGTGATAATTCAATTAAACAGATTTGAAGAGAGCTGTCTGCATGTTGCAATATCCTTATACTTAATTCCATAAAATTTGGTATGCCAGAAAAAGATTTAGTATGTCGTAATACATAGTAAGTCAATGCAGCATTTGAAAAATACCAGGATGTCCTCCGTTTGCATTTTGTGTTATGCAATCTAGCTACTCTGACCTACAAACATCTGTGTAGCAGAAAATTAAACAAGAGAGTAAAGGTTCATGGTGCAATTTTATGACGCAAAAATATGTTCCAATTAAATGCCAACTACATGCAACAGTACAGATTTTGTCAGGGCAGAGCAGTACATACTTAAGTAAAAAAGAAAAAGCTTGCAATTTGTAAAGCAGCTGTATGGCCTTGTATGGCAGCTGGATTCTTGCATGTTCCGAAATGACGAGAAAAATTTGTGATCATAGAAATAAAATATTTTACATATATATTTCACATAACACGACGATAATGAATTCTCAGTAACAAACCATCTGGCATTACACGCTTTGGTGTGATACTGGGTTGCAACATGAAACACATGGTCATATAAACTCCAAGACAATTTTCCATCATTGAAATGTGAAGCATATCCTACTGTCCTGGTTTGCAAAATGACAAAAAAGAGATTACTTAAATCATGAATTTAAAAAAATGATAATGAAAATTAAAAATCACCATGTCCATACATATTCAAAATATAGGTTATATTGTATGAAATTAAAGAATTTTTGCTAATACCTGTAAAAAACGCCCATTGGTCAGAGTCATGTGGGCCTGAACAACGCCTGACCAATCCTCGCGCTTGAATGCTACGCAGGGCGGGTCTTGTCAGGAAACGCATTGGTCCTCCTTCAGACGCATGCGCAGCCGTCAAGGCTTTCGTCATAAGGAAGTAAACGTGGTTTAATCTAAAGTATAGCGGCTGTGTCCTACAGCCGGCCGAGCAACGGGTAACAACTTTCAAAAGCGTTTAGTGAAAATTAAGGAAACAGTTTTAGGATGAACACCACGTTGAAGCACTGGAAGGAGGCGGCCACTCTTATTCTAGCCGCAGGTCACAAGCTCGGTGCGGACGGTTTAGCGTCAAGGACACCGCTGACAGCCGCTGCAGGTTCACCGCTGGGCAGCAGCCATGGACGGTCACACATGCCGCACAAATCCAGCTGTGACTACGACGTTTTACTGCTGAAACGAAGCAGTACAAGTGGATTCATGCCCAATGCGTATGTGTTTCCCGGCGGCATGGTGCACCCTTCGGACTTTTCGAGTGAGTGGCTGGACATTTTCAAATCTTTCAGCAATTCTCCTAATTTTGGTTTGAGAAGTGTCACTCAGCCGTTGGAGACCAGACCTCCAATGTTCGCCACAGACCGACTGAAACTGGGCTCCCCTATCCCGGGAGAGCTCGCCTTCCGGATCTGCGCCCTGAGGGAGACGTTTGAGGAGTCCGGTGTGCTCCTGTTTGTGTCCAAACTGGAGGAGAAAAGTTTGTTAAGAAGCATAGAGGGCAAGTGTACCACGGATCGAGAAGGCCCGCTACATCACAAAGTAAACGATCTGTGCAGTCGTGAACTGAAGAAGTGGAGGGATCTGGTAAACCAGAACCCATCTAACTTCATACAGATGTGCAGAGAGTTGGAGGTGTTGCCCAACATCTGGGCTTTACAGGAGTGGGGCAACTGGTTGACTCCCGCGGGCCGATACGGTGTGAAAAGGTTTGACACGGCTTTCTTCATCTGCTGCCTGCAGGAGATCCCTCAGGCACTCCAAGATGAAAAGGAAATCGTGTCCTTTAGGGTGATTCATCAATTCAACACAACACCTTCACATCTAATGTTGACTAAAGAGTTTTACAGGGAAATGTAATTTTCTTTGTTTATTTAGGCTAAAATAAATGATACATTTTCTTCTAGCAAAAGTTATAAACTATTGGTTACAGCTTCTCAATTGTGGGTATTTTCTACTGTAAAACATTCAGTATGTAAATATCACAATAAGAAGAGAATCAAAGGGATCTGTGTCAACATTACTACTGCTTCCTCTCTCTGTGTTTTTCAGTGGTCCACTCCCTCAGAGGTTCTCCAGAGCTACCAGGCACAGGAGTTGTGGATCGCCCCTCCGCAGGTCTATGAGCTCAGCCGCATGTGCCGCGTCCCTTTGCTGAATGACCTCCACAGCTTCTCCAGCCAGCGTGCCACGGAGGGCTGCGAACAGCTGCTGCCTGTTATTTCTTTAAAAGATGAACACTACACAGCGCTGCTGCCAGGTGCTGATTGTCTATCTCACCTAACCCACATCCAAACCAGCAGTGAAGCATGCCAACTTTATGTTCTATGAAGTCAATTACATATCTCCGCTCTATAATATGATGAATGTGAAGTTTTCTTATTGTCAACAAACCCCATGAATACACCAAAACCAACAATGAACTGATCCCACTAACAAGTATTGTCTGTGTAGTCAAAGCCTGATATTGTTCTATTATACCATTGAGCTCCATTGTTGTCCAAAAAACTATTAAAAACACCAGGGAGCCATGCTGTTGCACTGGGTGACATGTTATTTCATGATAATCATGATCATAATGCGGTCATTCCCAAATACTTCACCCTGATGCCATACTTACTGACTATCACACCAAATCAGCTGCTCAATACTACCATTAAGAAGGAATTTGCTTACAAGCAGGGTGAGGAAGCTGTAAAGCATTGAGAAAGTGACTGATGTATTGTTGGTTTCGGTCTTTCATGGGAATGGTTGAATGTAAAATATAGACTTTGATCTTTTTTAGAATAGTGAAAACAACAGGTTGGGGTAGAGTAGTAATGAGGTTAATGTTAGTGATGAAACGGTAACATGAATGTTTATGGTAGATTAACCATTTGTTGTTGTTTTTCTCTCGGGCTCTCCACGCTTTGCAGGTGACGGATGCTACCCGATGGCCCCTTCAGGAGAAGCCGGGGTGGGTACGAGCACAGACCCTCAGCTGGAGGATCCTCAGGTGGAGGATTCTGCACTGCACCGCTTTGTGACCGTAGATCCGTACACTATAACTCTACAGATGACCATCACTCCCAAGTACAATCATCTGCTACCTGTTTCAGAGCAGACCTTCCATTATGACTCAAAAAGTAGGCTTTGATTCACCCTACCTGTTATATGAGCCCCACAACTCCCCTGTGCACATACAGTGAAGCAAGACAAGTTTACTGCTTTTCATAGGATCAGATGGGCCCTCTTCACAGCAGACATTTTGCTTTGTCATAGAAGGAAAAGCACAGATGTAGCTAACAACATAATGCTTTGTTCTATTCATTGACTGTTCATTTACAAGCTCGCAAAAAACTTTTTATTCAAAGACGTATTTCAACTCCTGTCAGCTAGTGATTGCTCTTCTGTGGAGGAGTTGCTAGCGAGAGGAGGTTGGGTTAAAGTGAATGGTGCAGCCGGCTCTCGGTTCTCTCAAAGGTCAGCACGGACCATTTGTGTGGATTATTTTCGCCTCCTCGCCAGGATCCTCTGATCTCAGCGACTCCATTTGATTTTCCAACAAAGTTTTACTGTTTTAAATCCTGGTGTGTCCAGGCTTTGAGCCGTGACCATGTGACACATGCACAATACCAGAAAACTGAAACGGCTTAGTGGAATTTAGCCATAGTTGATTTTGATAATAACACCTGCTGCATTAACTACTATGACATGTCAAAATGTCTTCAGTGGGAAAGGTTTATTGTGTGCTTGTCAATGACAGCGAATCGTTTTCAGTACGTATTAAATGGACTGCATTTTAATTATGATGCTAATTTATTCTTTCTTCCGTGTGACTGTTGTGTCATCAGATCTAGAGAGATCTGTCCCTCCACCAGCTCCCTTACTTGTTTTATATTTAAGTAACACAAATTTGTAATTGATGAATAAGAAGTGATTGCTAATGGCCTTATTGTGCAAAGGTTTTATTCGGACACTAATTTCACATCATTTGAGGAGGCCGCTTCAGGAGGATCATCATTGACATTTGTTTTAGTGTAAGCTGCTGAGTTTTGTTTGATTATGGAGCTCATTCCTTATAAAATATGCTGATTTTGTTATGATTGTTACATGTGACTGTGCCCAAAATCACAAAGGACAACACTGGCCTAGGGCTGCGAGATATGACCAAAATCTAGTAATTTCATATCTCAATAACCATCTTCATAGCAGTTTTCTGGTAAATTAATATAGCAATAGCCCAGATGAAATAACCACATGGTTTTGTATACTGTTGTGTGAATTAAATACATTGACAAATGAAAAACACTGACTATTTCTCTTACTTAATTAAAACCTTTGCAAAATAATCAGATTTTCTGACATATTTTGTATAGTTTGTGCTTGTTATCATTTAGATTAAGGAAGAGTGTTTCACAATATCTTGATTCATTACTTCATCACAATATGAATCCATTAAAAGATGATAAATTATCATATTGAAATATCGCCTATAGCCCTACATTGGCCCACTCCGTGGTGAGGTATTAAGAATCATGTTATTTGTTGAATTAAGTAAGAACTTCCTGGCCAGACCTTGACTTTATGTTTTATTTTGCTCCACACTTTATTATGAAGTAACTATTTTATTTTGACGAATTTGAGCTTGTAAACCATAGGAACTGTAAATATATCACAGGGATTTCGAGGTGTGTGTGTGTGTGTGTGTGTGTGTGTGTGTGTGTGTGTGTGTGTGTCATCAGTTATGGTGATCCCTCTCAGGAGGAGTGCATATGTCTGGTGGAGACACTGCGGGGCTTCAACCCTTTCTCCTTTGGGTGTCTTCCCTGCTCACAGCAGTGTCCTCCATGGCATTTTGATAACTCATAAGAAAACATCTCCGTCAAATGGATTGTACCCTGTGTCTGCCATTTATAAATTAATTTATTATAAAACGGATCAATGTATTCATTATTAATTTGATCTTTTTACTGATGCTGTCTCACACTGCTGTTAGGAGATTTGTGCTTATGATGGTTTGTGATGCTCACAGTGAGTGAGCTGAAGAACACAGGCAGAATAATGAGACTGCATGACAATATCTACTATCACAATGTCTAAAAAGGCGATTTATACAAAGTAACTGTGTGGATGCAGTCACAATATCTACTATCACAATGCCTGCTCTAAAAAGGCGATTTATGCATTTATGTGGACGCTGTCACAATATCTACACAACCATTACTCGTAGCTCAATAGTGCTCATAACCAGACTTCTGTTTTTTTGTATCTAGGCCTCTATTTACTTTTTTTTATAACACTCAGGGTTATTTAATACACAAGAAACCTATCATCTTGAAGTGTTAAAATCATTTGTTAATATAAGTTTGATGTTCTTTTAAGCACAATACATTTAAATATATGAATTTAATTTAATTTAAGGAACACAGTTTATGGCCATGACTCTTTTTGGCACAGAAACAATTTAGATGTGACAGACCAGTGGGCTGTGAGAGAGGAAGAGAGGGACAGATCTACATATAGAGTGATTAAAGCTATTGATTTTGGATTTGTCTGATTCTCTTCATCAAAAAGAAAATGTTGCTGCCTGTTTTTCTTCCAGCAAAGGTTCCCTTAAGTCACTCTGACCTGGTTTGGAACGTTTTCTTCTAAATTGCTGAGGCATACAGGTCAGCACGGCTCAATCTGATTTTCATCTTTTTTGACACACTTCATCTGTCAGCGTAGGGGGGGACGGTGCTGAGGTTTTTGGTCCCCTGTTCAGCTCAGGCCCTCCTCTGTCCTCACACCACATCTCCCCCTCTGCTTCAGAGTGCTGTGTTTGTGTAGGATGGTGGTGACAGAAAGGGGGCGAGTTGAAATAACATTGCTGCTCAACCTTCTGTGCTGTTAGCGGCGGAGAGTCTGTTGAGGGTTTCTATGGCAACACACAGCCTTGGAAACCCACCGTCTTCGTCCAGATGAGGCCATGATGATGATGATGCAGTGGTCCGTCTCTGCCCGGTGTGCAGCTCGCCTCTCTGTCAACCAGTCTGCTCGGTTTGTTTGTTTCCATGCGACGGATTGAAGTTGGTAAATGTCCCTGTCATTCACATAAGCTTAACCAATGTAGAGAAAGTCCATTTACTCACCTGTAAAAGGACACATTTTTATACCTAATGAAGCACATGCTCTAAAACTTTGATGCTGTTTCTATTTTGAGAAGCAGCTTGCGTAACAGAGGTTGCAGTGAAATTGTTTCGGCATGCCTGAAACTTTCTCAAAGTCGAATCAAAGTAGACTTTATCATGAACATTAGTCGTTTACTTGAAACTTGAGAGAGGACTTTTAAAGAGTTTCAAAAGGCTTTATCTCTTCCACTATTTCATTCCCCTCCCTTTCTTCCCCATGTTTAATTAATCACCTTTATATTTTTGGAACTCTGGATGACAACGTAAGTCTGTTGTGAATATCAGAGAGGTTCATGACTCACTGTTAGCAGAGCTTAGTGCGTCTGTGAGACGACAACAAGGATAAGCAAGATGTCAGAAAGCCTTCTGTGAATCGGGTGTGAGCAAAGCGCGCCACTGATTGTCATGCATCAAAGTCTTGCCAAAAAATGCTCTCCCCTCTGTGCTTTTCGGAGTCGAGTTTTCTTACATTTCAGCTTTTTTTTTCTAAAACAATAATCTATTAATGTTTCTCTTGAGGTCTCTAACCTCGAGAGGGTGAGAAGAGACAGACAGCCTGGAATAAGAGATTAAAAAGCAAAAGGCATTTAAGTACTCCGCTGAATACACATTTAATGTCCCAAATGATTGCTATATCCTAATCTGCAACTTCAATATTTTAAACATGCCAGATTCTTCTTTCAATACAAGAAAAATGTAATTTCGCTCCATTACTCCCACAAGGAGTCAGGCTTCTCCCCAGAAGAGGAGGGTAGCTTTAATTAAATTTGATCCTTTGAGATTATTGCATACTTCCAAAGCCGGCAACTAAGGCTCAGTGGTCTTTGAATGCCAGGGGTCTATTTATGCAGTTATCGGGGAAACCCCTCAGGATCGGGGGAAGAGATCATTAAAGTCAATTTAGAGCTCATTTGATGTGCAACTGTTGAACTGCGAGCAGTTACAATAGATTTTTAATTAGAATTCACACTGGAGCATTAATTCAAATGTATTTTTAGAGTGATGATGATAAGTAAGAGTTACTGACATCTTTCAGCAACCGCAGATGATGAACAGACATGGAAGTATTTATCCTGAGGTCACATGTTCTTCTGTCTGAAAGCACCAACTAGCTGATGTAAAACCTTTTTTTAATGAATAGTTAAACAGAGGCTAGACACCAAATACTGACATACTGTGGATTTACATATCAGCTACTTCTGTTTATTAGTAGTTCTTAGTACCCTTTACATACCTTTGATGTACGTTATCTTTAAATCTCACTCGAACATTTTTACCTGAAAATATTCTATATCTCCTTTTAATACAGCCCCATGCCTTACAAACAGTGAGTGGTTCTTTTCCAGTAAATTCCCTGACAATAATGTGCCAAAAACTATATAATTTACTCTAAACTTTGAGAATGTTTAATTTATTAATTGTTGATAATAAATCTTCTCAATTCTAGTTTTGGAAAATCAAATTAAAACTATTTTGGAACCTGTTAGAGAGATGTGTTTCAAATATATATAGTTTGGAGGAAGAAATGAAGTGTTGAACCTTAAATTTTTAATATTTTTGATGTTCCTTTTCTAGTATTCACAAGTTTGACTGTTCCATTACTGTGAAAAGAAGTTAACATAATTGGCATTATGATAGGAAGGTGTGAAAGAAAATATATCTGCCCACAGATGTTGCATATTTTTTGTTCAACCTTTCTAAATCCCTAATACAGTAAGGGAAGCACATGATCATCCATACAAGAGCTTTGAGTAATGTCCTTTTCTTCTTTTTTTTAAAATAAAATCATAGCTAGCCAGTGTTGTGAGAGTCATGTTGTGTTTATTTCTATGAATTATATTATCGATCTTTGATAGCATTAACACTTCTGACTTGAAGCTATTTCTGAGCTGACCTCAGGACAACTCACAGCCCCTTAAACTAACACGTTAAGGCTTTGGCTCTGACAGCCATCCACTATCGGTTCACCTTTCCAGGAATACCTTCAAAGACTCTTACAACTAAAACCATTAGGGAGTCAAAGCATCTGCTCTTCTCCCATCTATTTTAAATCGAATAATTTAAACCCATTATGTCAAAGATAGCTCAAAATACCTCTGTGTACTCCCATGTATGTATCTCAAGCTTTGCAGTGATTACAAACTGGCCTCATATAAAGTCATCAGTTTAAACTCAATACTCAAATACCCAACACCCAAACATAAAAGAGATACAACAGAAAACTGCTTTGGCATTGGCTGTAAAACACTTAGGAGCTATTTCTTCAGACTGCGAGCACATCTTCGAGTGTGTTTCAAAATTTTATTATAATAAATATACTTATGTATGTACATTATCTGACACAGCAGTCTGTATGAACAAACCCTCTATTCACATGTTGCAATGTATACATTCAACACTGCTTGCAAGAAAACCCTGAAAAAGGAACACGAACAGGCTTACAGTGCATTATTAAAAGACTGTGGACTTCTCTTAGGTCCCCAAGGCTCTTTCATCAAGCAAATTGTGATTTGATGCAATGAAGTAAAATGCAGGCTTACAACAATCTGGCTATACAGATTGTATGATGTATTATAACTGTGCTAACAGAAGTGTGGAACAGTGCGGATTTGATCACATCCAACTGGATCACTCTATATTACTTCCCATACAACATGACCCTTTCCTTCTCTGACTATAGATGGTCCCCTGCTCGTTTGAACACGTCTGACTTTGCTGGATTGAATTCATAAATTTAAAGCATCAATGCAGCAGAACATCAAGAGGAATACTTAACAGTAGGCTACATTTACGCTTGAGCTTTTCCACTAATCCACTTGGATTACGTGTTGTTTGCATCATCCTGATGGCCAGACACTGTCACGTAATTTCATGATTTATTTTTCCTCTTCCAAAAATACACGACCCCTTGGCTCCTCAAAATACTTCAAATTGTGCCCGACGTCCATTCTATTGTTCTACATTATAACTAGTGCAACTCTTCGACTCCACTGAATACATTCACAAAATGCGAGAAAGATGAATAACTTCGCGTGTCCATATTTTTTTTTCAGCATCTCAAATAAAAAGCGCTTTCTCTCTCTCGTGGAGCTGCTGGCTTTTATTACCACGGAGACGCGCTCGTGGGCAGCCGCGCAAGGGTGTCCATCCGGGTGGGCTGTTGGTTAGACAGCTCAGGACATATTGATGACCAAATATCCTAGAACCAGAGCGACCGTAACGATGACAAAGAATACAAGCACAGCGCAGATCGACGCAAAGCCAGCGTCCCTGTTGCCTCCCCCTTCCTCATCTTTGGGCTCCTCTTCGCAGATGGAGATGACACCCACGGAGGAATTTCCTACACTCATGTTGGACTTGAGCTCCGCGCCTGCCTCCTGCTTCGCCTCGACGGCCCACGGCGCCACCTGCACCTTCATCTCCATCTCCTCCATCATCTGGCTCACATGGGAGATCTCGGACTGCAGGTCCCGGAGGTCGGCCGTGTCGATGTTGCTGTCCGCCTCGTACTTCATGTTCTGCACGCTCATGGCCCGGGCCGCCACGGTGGTGGTGCTGCCGGTCATCCCCGTCTGGATGAGGTGTCTCGTGGGAACCTTGAGGGGGAAATCCTGCCCTATCTCCAGGGACCTTTTCATGTCCACCTCCAGGAGCTCCATGCTGCTCGAGAACAGCACCCATAGGCGCTCGTACTCGGCTCGGTCATCCTTGCTGATGGTTTTGTCTTTGAGCAGAGAGGTCAGTTTAGTCCGGTTGGCCACGGCCAGCTCCTGGGCCTTTTTGCGGGTCCTCTTCAGCTCCTCTCGCAGGTTCTGCGAATCCGACGTGCTTCCCAGAGCGATTACCAAATGCCTGTAGCAAGCAGTCACTTTGTTCAAAGCGTCCAGCATTGTTTTGCACTCATCTTTCCCCATGGCTGATTAAATATCTACTCTCCAAAAAATATGAAATAATAAACAAAAGAAGCTTGACGAGAAATGGCGAGCTGTTAGTGACGGTGCTTCATCCACGGTCATTGGTTTAGTTTCAAAAGGAGCACACCCCCAGCTTCACAAATCCCCTCAACGCACTAGTCAGAGCAAATTCCTTTCTACCCATGCTCCTTCCTTTCTGCAAGCAGTCACAGAGAGAGGCTTAGATATTAATGCGTTCGTAAATGGCTTTAGGCTACCTTTGCGCTTCCCCACTCGAGATCAGACAGCGACGGAGCGCATCTCCTGCTGGGCGGATGCTGAGTGGATGTGAAACAATCCAACATCCCCCTTTTTAGGAGATAGAGATCCAGATTCAGCTACAGGTGTCCCAACATCCCCTTTCCTGCTGTTTGTAGAGAGAACGCGGAGCCTTTCTCGTCAGCAGCTTAAAATAAAGTCCGTTAACGTGCAACGATGACGCGCGGCTGGGGAAACGGAGATCTTCACTGCGAGTTACGGAGAGAAAAATGCTTCAAAGCGTCCATAACCGCGGGTGCCAAACATTGTTTTTTGGTTTGTTTATCTGTGTGGGGAGCTGTCCGCTTCTGCACCCAAATGATGAGGTTTAAATACCAGTAAGCGCCTTCTGAGGTCACATGTGTGCACTAAACAGAGCCATGCAGGCAGGGAAACAAAGCATCTGCGCTCCTATTGGTTTGGTCCCACAGACGTCTCTTTGAAATGCGTCCAGTCATTGGCTGTTCTGTCCCAATGTGGGCAGTGCTGTGATGTCTCTCAGCTGGGATGTCAAATCACAAAGTCCTAACCTATCTGCCACTACCTGCCAGTTGTCATCAGGATTCCTGTATGTGTTGTCAGCTATGTTTCCGGTGACAATAGAAGCAATGTTGCTGGTTGCTGACAAGATATTCAGCCTTTTTATATTCATCTTTGCATTTAAAAATAGTACTGGTAGAGCAAACATGTTTGAACCACCCTACACCAGTCTATTAATGACATATTTAACTTGAAGTGTAGAGAATGGATAGTAACTGTGTGAGGTGTGTGCGCATAAGTGCCAACCACATAATTATTCATCATGTTCGCAAAGTCCATTAGACACAGACCTGCCTGCACACGGTGTCGGGCCAGAAAGGATGCTGTTGTTGTGCACAGTGTCGGTTGGATACTGTGTTGTTTACCTTCTTAGCTCCTGCTGTGTTGAGAGGTGAGAGGCAGATAAGACTCTGCGGTGTTTGCCTGGGTTGCTCTTTTTGCATTATTGAGGCGGATGAAGCCTAATGATCCATTGACTGCCGTGTAAAGCTAATGGACTTAAATGCAGAGGATGCCTAAGGAGCTGAGGGAGAGGCTCATTGTTTGCTTTATTGTTGCATGGGGATTTATTCATCTATTTTATTTTAATATCCTATTGAAAAGTCATGCATATTCCTTCAAATTGAATGCATTATTACGTATATATGCACGGCCATCTATAACTCCCTATTTCATAATAAGATTAATTCAATATTGCAATAAGTGCCTCGGCTCTATGTTTACTGTGAACTGTAATGTCCGGTATATTTTAACTGCTGCAAGCCATGCCAGGGATATCTGACAAATAACAAATATCTTGGCTGAGTCAGATGTTTTGATATGATTTTGCTTAATGGGTCTTTTTTCCATTGAACATGTTTCCATGGCAACCTCTCACCTCTTGGCAAGCATTCTTCAGTAATTCTTCCCTCAAGCTATTCAATTACTGTCTTTCATGTTGTATTTCGAATTACAGTTTAGCTGTGGTCAGAAGAAAGATTCACGAGTAGCAGTTGGATTGATTGTACAATGTGATGGTGTGGTTCTATGGCCTTTTGGAAGCTAAAAAATATATCAAGGTAGTGTGTTGTTCCTCATTAAAAAACATTTTACAAAGAACGCACGCTGCAGCGTCCTGGAATTTCATTCTCTCAGCTCATAAAACATCAGTAAATTATTCCAATCCTGAGTTAACAAATGCAGAAACACAGTCAAAGTCCAAAGACAGACATGACCCGTGGCCTGTTGACAACTACAAATTTGGGAATTTGTAATTGTTCAATCTCTTCTTATACAGATGATCACCTTTACTTGGAACTGCCAACAGCATAGAGTAAGAATTGCAGGATTATGTCGTACAATTGGCTGTGGTGTCTGTCTGTCTGCTTACCTATAATAAGATTGCTGATAAGCTGGCCTGTTAGATTCAAGTGTTAGGATGAGTCGCACATGCTGTGGTCTGATTGCTCTCAGAGCGATCACATCATGGAAAACTCAATGTGATTTCCTGTACACAGGCTCTTTGTGGTTTTCTGTTACACAGAAGAGTAACAAGATAGTGAGGAGCTCCAGATGTTAATGTTTTTACACGGATTAATGCTATACAGTGACTCCTGCAAAGACAAATAAAGCCTGAAAAATCTTTCTTCTAATGAAATATATTTGTTTAATTAATTATTGTCCTGCCATTTTGTAAGAACAAATACGATATATTGCAAAAATAATTCCTGATAGGCTATTCCAGTTTAATAGGATTTCACATTTAACATACGATCCATCCATTTTATATTCATTGTCAGTTTTTAACTTGATGTGTATTAGCAGGGTTATGATCATGAAGCATAAGATGGCTGAACTCAGAAGAAAAAAACAAAAGCAATAGCATTATTTAGTAGGCTACAAGCACACAAACGTAGCAGTGGGAATGCATTTATGAATATGCATATATGCATATATGAATGCATATATGTCAAATTAAGGCCATGGTCACAGTCCACATTGGGTGACATAGCAGCATTTGTGACTGCTGTTTGACATCTGTCTGATACATCAATCCATCCCTTCCACTGCTGTAATATTTTTAAAAGGGGCCAGATGTGTTTGTGTTCATAGCAGGAGCCAAATCCTTTGATTTGTGACACATTGTCAAGTGGCGTTTGCTTTGGGACGTGTGTTTTTGTTTACATATGAGCCCCAGACACAGAGCAAATCTGGTTATTATCCTTCAATCCGGATGCAAATTGTGTAAAAATACATTTCTTTGTAAAAACTAGCCTAGATCATAGCATATGATACCACTCACATGACAAATGACAGCGAACTGTCCTAAAAAAGAATCAGAATATATGGCATGCTTGGCTTAGACATGTCAAGCCTGGAATTAAAATGAAAGATGAGCAAAAACACCCCCAGGTTCAAGAGGTTAAGATGAAAAGGAAACCAAAGGAGAGAAGAACTACTTGGTATAGGGCAGTTTTCAAATGATGCTATAAAATGATCTACAAACGCCATAATCCAGATTAGCAAATTCCTGAAAATCCAAGGATTAACAACATAATGCCCTCAGATGTATCTTTTAATGGAGACTGTCGTCTGTCTCTCACGCATTTCCATCATATGTAATCAATGGTTTAGGCAGGAAATAGAGCCTGCTTGCACTCACTACACTTTGTGTGAGATAATGCTCAAAAGACGTAAAGATGTTTTCCCCAATAATGCCCCAAGCAAACACATTAGAAAACTCTTGAATAACCTCTGTCAGCTGTCTTGATAATCCCAGTAAAAAGCTCCTGCACTGACTGCCCTTTGCTCTAACATTCATGTAGGTTTTCTATAGAAGGCCCACACTAACCTTTAAATTGTATCCGTTTTGTTATTTAATAAAAGGTTTATCGGATTTGTCTAAACCTAACGTGTCTATAGGTAAGGGAAAAAAAACTCTAGCCCCCAAAGTAAACCCACATAAACTCAGGGGAGAACAAGAAACTCCTCATAGAGAGGACTCAGTCAGTGAAGTATTGCGCCTTCTTGCTTTAAGGCAGTAGTAACCGCTAACCACTGAGCTACTGTGTGGTCAAAATATCATCTAAAATCCTGTGAAAAAGCTTTTGACTCCCCTAAGTGTGACACATTACTTAGCCATGCCCACATCTGAGATTAAGTGTGTCTGGAATAGGATTAGAACTCTCTGTAGCCCTAATCTGACATGATCATGCCAAACTAATTTGATGTGCTGTTACTGGTGAAGAACAAATATCACTTAAAAGCCAAAGATATCTTGGGCATCAGGTCTACATTCGGAAGCACGAAGTTACTTGTTTTAAGTGGTTTGGGATCCAGGCGGATGAGGGAGCCCAGAGACGGAGCCTGTTTGTGGAATTATGAGGAAGGTGCAGTCAGTTAGAAACAGAGGCAGAGCATTGACGGGAGAGAGAGTGAGAGAGAGGGGGCGAGTGAGAACCAGAGAAAGAGGAAGTCTATCTTTGTTGAATTATTGATGGCCATCATCCACTATGTGGTCTCTTACACGGCGCAGCATGCACCAGCGGGGTGAACCGTGAGTCACGCCTCAACTCCACGAAGGTCCAGAGAGGACCTCCATTCAACCGTGACTTACACACACACACACACACACACCCACACACACACACACACACATACACAATACTGCTCCTCTCTCCACTCCCTATGACAACGAAATCTAAGCTTACCTTAAAAGCCCTCATACAAACTTTGTATTGATCTTGGCAAATGTGATGCAGCACTCTCACTGTGTGTGTGTGTGTGTGTGTGTGTGTGTGTGTGTGTGTATGGAGCAGATTGAATTTAAGATAAAAAGCCACCCTTTTGCCGTGCTGAAGATGCAGTCATCATTAAAGACCCACTGTCTTTAAAACTGCATGCAATGCAGCAGCGATGTTTCTAAAAAACAGAATTAGTATTTGATATTTTTGGAAATAGGCTTATTCACTTTCTGGTAGAGTTAGATGAGAAGATCGACACCAATCTGTCTAGAATATATAGCATGAAGCTTATATATAATGGAAAGACTTGAGGGCGGTATCAATCTTCTCATTAAACTCTTCGCCAGAAAGCGAATAATTGTATTTCCCAAAATATCAAAGTTTTCCATCTCTTTTGATTTGAGATGGGCCGGCCAATGAGTCATGGTTGTGTTTTTAAATTGAGTTAAATTTCCTTGACCAGAGGTAAAAGACATGTGCTGGCACTAAAGCATGAACGTCGTTTTTCTTAAAGTAGAGTGGAGTAAGACGCTCTGGTGTGCTACAGTATGAAGTACTTTCCATGCTAAACTGAGATGAGCCAAAAGGATGCACAGCATCTGCTCAGTCAAGGCTTAGCTCTAATCTTATCACATCAAGGTAAATTTAGGCGAACCCGAGGGATGAGAAAATGAAAAGTGATATGTCTCTAATAAAAATTCAAACAAATACAGTCTCAAATACAGTCTGCCGCTTGCCATCTCTGGTGTGTGTGTGTGTGTGTGTGTGTGTCAAGGAGGTACTTGTTTGTCCTCTCCCCAAAGCCTCGATGTAATCTAGTGCGCAAGTCTCTTTCTGCAGAAAATAGGACAGTCCAGGGAAAAGAGGAAACAACCATCGGATTCAAAAGACTTTCACGAGGCTCTCAAAAGACATTCAACTCCACCGAAAAACATAATGTAAGAGCTTTCTAGAGGTACATTAGTGACCTTTAACAAGCTCGAGCTGTTTTTTGTGGCTTATTTGTAAAGCTCATTGTACTCCATTGTACTTTGCTACTGCTTGTGCACACTTCAAGCATACAAGGAGAGCTGGTGGCCATGGGACCAAAGGTTCTTTGGCCCTTGTCCATTTCACTGTCATGGTTTTAGAATAGCCAACAGATTGCACCACTCAGAAAATCCCCTCTAAAAGGCTTCTAGGTCGGATTTGTGTGGGCAGGTCAAAGGTGGGTGCAGCAGAGATAAGCCTGTGTAAGGTCAGAGGTCATTCCATCGCGGCATGTCTCTGTGTCATTCCTCATACATCAGTCAAGACTGTGATTCTTCTGCTCTGATTTACTGTCAGTCTGTCGTTTCCTGTTCATGTTTGTCTTCCTAAAGGAGATCTCCTGTGTGGAATATGAATGAGCAGAATTCATTCGTCAATACTATACTGTAATGCATTTACAAACTGAGAGATGAAGACTACAAAGAATCATCTTCATCCTTACCCTAAAGGTTTTTTTTCTGAAGTGAACCATGATTTAATTGACGATATTTATGCATTCACCCAGAAGGGTCACCAAACCTAATTTAGGAATTGTCAAATATCATATTAACACATTTGTGTGTTCTAATTTAATTAGACTTTTTCAAGATTAGCTATATCAAGTTGTGTTATTCCATATAATACTGTGAATACATCTATGTCGCATCCAATGATTAGTATACCCACCATACATTGCGACCAACTGCAGCTACGCCCTTTTCTCTTCTTCTCCCTTCTCCTTCTCTCGCTCTCTTTTTACCACAGATAAACTGACGCCACGTAGCGGTGTTTAATTCACAAGCACCAAGGAAATTCCTCTTGAGGTGTTTCTCTCTTTAAGAATTTATGAAGACTTTTCTGCGTTCTCTTTTTATTTTTAACTCGACATTTGCCTCGCATTGTACATCCCAACAGGCCTCCGCACTCTGACATCTCTCAATGGAACTCAGGCCTGGTACCTTTGTCTTATAGCATAAAACACAATTTATATTTGGAAGGGGGAAATGTGCAAGCAAAAAAAAAATACTTTCACATTTTCGGAAATACTCTTATTTGGTTTCTTGGTGAGTCATAGATTAGAAGATCAATGACCCTCCAATGTATGTATGGTAAATATAAAGCTACATTCATCAGCTGGGTAGCTCAAAGACACAGCACACAGGCTCTGTGCAAAGGTAACAACATTTACCGACCATGTCAATACCGATCGTTACATCTACCTCTCGGCAAGAAGTGATTTATGCCAAAATGTGGAAGTGCTTAAGAAAACACTGGTGTTTAAAGTTAATTTATTCAAGATTTTCATTCTTAGAGTTCAGTTTCGTCATTTTACCTTGACAGTCTCTTAACTGCGTGTATTGCGCCTTAAAACATTACACTCCACATGAATGTTGAACCATTTTTATTAAGTACAAATAAACTCATTGATTGTCTCTGTGTGACTAAATTAATCTGAATGTAACACAATAGATAATGCCAAAAGTAGATTGAAATGTATCCTATCAAAATGAATTGGTTTGCTGAGGTAATCATATGTGATGCATGTGCGAACAGATTCTTTAAACACCCATAGCATATCAATCTGTCAGCTGTGGCTTCATTCCTACACCGCTGACAGACAGATTTCTGTGATGATCACCTTTTCAAAATGTATTTTTATCTGTCTCATCCCCTCTGATGTAAGCAAAGCCCCATGTCTTCTTTCCCCTTTTCACTCCTGCAGCAACACACACCCTAACCCATGGACCAGCTACAGTCACATCACAGAATTGCTCCAAACCACTCTGCTCTCCACTCCACTTTGCTTCACTTGATTTCACTCCAAAAGCCAGCATGCCAACAGAGGGGTGTGGGTGAGGGGGTACTGCACCAAAACAATAATGCTCATGGGAATCCAAGGCCCCCGGCGGGAGATTTTGTTTGTTACATGAGCACTTAGCATTCATTATTTAATTGGAGACAAGACTCCTGATTACATCAAGAGTTAAAGGGAAATACCCCTCCTTGTCTCAAATGCTGTTCTCCCTAATGCATATTCTGGTACATCCAAGAAGGAGATGTCTTAGGGAATGTACAGTATAACAGGTGGGGAGAGTTTTTAGGAGACTACAGAAGACAGTTTACATGCAGCCGTTGTGACTGCTCTTTTGGCACTCAGTCAGAAGCTCATCTAGCCATAATGGAGAGTGTGAGAGAAACAGTTCTGGAAATGGAAACGGCTTCAGTCCGCTCATTCAGCCTTTAAGCTGCTTTAGAGGATTGCTGGGTATTTTCTCTCTCCCTCTCTCTAAAACAGACAGCTGATATTGGCTCTGAACCAGAACAGGAGAGGGGAGAATCCTGCCTTGAGCTTTTACTGCGCAGCTGCACACACAGGGCAGAGATGGGCCAAGCTGCTTTGTCTTGGCTTTATAATCCACTCTTGGGAAAGACATGTGACAGCAGAGACTGGCCAGGAAGAGACGGGCAAAAATACATCAAAATGTATTTTGATACAAAATACAAAATACCCCTCAAATAAATGTATCAAAATAAAATACAAAATACTGGTGCCACAAAATGTAACAAAATACAATACATGTATTTTGTATTTAAAATATAGGAAATACTTTTTTCTGGATTTTCCGTTTTCTCACAATTTGGTATCGCAGAGCATTCAGGTTTGGGCTATATAATATAATATAATATAATATAATATAATTATATATAATGTACACAAAGCTCTGGTGAACCACACAAACAGGAAGAACAGTCACAGAATGTCAGTGTAAACAAGCACATCTGTGCTTGTTGATGGTCCTTCTTGAACATCATCTAGACACGTTGTCCACCTGGCCAACTGTAGAATGTATGAAATAATAAAACTAAGAATACTTTCATAATATGCCTTTTAAATAAAATAAATAGGATATTTAATGTTTTTTTGTTTTTTGTTTCAACAAATGGACATCTACTGTCATAGCCTGGCTAACTGTGAACTATATTATCTGCCAGTAATTGATATGGCATTATGACATTCACATTGAGAAGATACAGCATAACTTGTAATACAGTGCAAGATTAGATGGTCAGACGTCTCTTGATAAGGTTATCATGAACATACAAGCTCCCAATCTCCCTCTTCCTATAGCTAGCTACTCGACTGATAAGTTAACTTGCTAAACACTGGCTATGCACTAGCCTAGACAGCATGCTAGCGTCATTAGCATGTTAGCATCAATCGCTAGCTTGATATTATAACCATCACCATGTATATACAATAGGGCATAGGCTATGTAGCCAGACCCAGACGTCAATTATACATCAAGCTAGTTGACATCTGTCACACTCAGATAAAATATTTACGTTGACAGACAATCCGTTGAACTGGAAGATCTGAACTCGTGAACTGTTTTTTGATTCGTGGAGAAAGTATTTTGAGTATTTTAAATACAAAATTACTCCACTCTAAAGTATTTTGTTACAAATTACGTTCAATTTTTATCGGCCCTATCAAATACAAATTACAAAATACTCAAAAGTAATTGAAATACGTATTTCAAATACAAGTAATAGAAATACTGCCCATCTCTGCCAGGAAGGTCATGCAGCTCCCTGCTGGGGACATGCTGCTACAAGTGGGCCCCTTTCCCTTGCTGATCACAGGAGACCCTGGTCAGGTCAAGCTAAATATTTCACTCAGAGAGTGTTTCTCTTCAGCTGTCAATCACAAAATACCTGTTGTGACATCACTGACTGGACCAAAAGTATAGCATGCATGCAAGTTTTAGCATCAGCAGAACAAATACAGTGTTCTGCTTTGCTGAATTCCTCATGCACAGGTTTTTGCTGAAGTTCAAAGTGATGGTCACTGTAGAAATGTCAAGAGGATTCAGTGAGGTTGTTCTTTTGAGAGAGACTGGGTTCAGATCAGAACTGTAAAATATTCAACCGTTTTCTATACCTGCTTATCCTGGTGAAGGTTGGGGCGCTGGAGCAGTTCAAGAGCAGGTTGATTTGAAAAGTGTCCATGCCTTAGCGGTGACAGAAATGAATTCAGACTTGATGTTCACTGTAAATGTTTACACAATTCAAATTCAAAAACACTGGTATGGCGCCTTAATGCAAGTCACTGCTTTTCATCTAATGCATCCATGGCCTTCCCCTTGTCCGTGCATGAGGACGAACAACCCCGGGGGCTGACTGGCTGAAATATTGTTGTGTGGCTCGGTTGAAGCCACTTGGTTTGCTTCATGTTTACAGAGCCCCAGGCTGTGTATGAACACCAGATGTTTTACTCAGGGCACAACCTTAAGTGGACCGTGATGAGATATTTGCTGAAATAAATAATCTGATTTAACAAATATATACATGTATGCATGCAAGATTTAACAACTGCACTTTTACAAACTATAAGTTATCTCAATCATGCTAGCTAGACCTTTAAACAGCATAACTTCAATGCAGGATAGTTTCTCCAAGTTTACTTGTGGAGTGTCACTCTAATGTTACTGCATTTAGCAAATTAGCACCTGCGAGTGGAGAACTGAGATGATCAGTTTTGTAGTTGCAACTATGTCACAATCCACGAGGTGACGCTGTTTAACTAACAATCATTACCCCGGACATTCCCGAACGGTAACGGAGAAACCCGAGGCTAACCCCGGAAGCTCCGTCGTTACTGGTGGCTGTCAGCCCGTTGTTGGAGCGATGTGTTACTGCTGCCGTGGGTACGGCTGCGTTACAACTGGAGTTTAGCCCAAACACAAGGCTTGAAGATGTATTAAGACGGCTTTCCCAACTAAAGAAATTAGAAATATCAAGGTATGTCATTCAGCTGTCGCTCGGGAGGCTCTGCGTTTACGCTCGTCGCTCGCACATAGCATGCTAGCTGTGTTAGCTTCGGCTAGTTAGCAAGCGAGATTTACCATCCAGTCCACATGCATGTGAAGTGTCAGACTAGGAAACTGTGTGTGTGTGTGTGTGTGTGTGTGTGCGCGCGCGTGTGCGCGCGCGCGCATGCATGTGTGTGTTCAGTCACGACCTTTAGAGTTATAAAGAAGGGCTCTCTAACGTCACACCTCTAACGTCTGTTGAGGTGCTTCAGTTTGTGGTTTGTCTGGTTAAATCACGTCTTATCTGGCCGGACAGGTCTTAGTTATCCACTTACACTATTAGATAGATGTAAAAATGTCACTTACATCTTGGTGTGGAAACTATTGTAATAGTAATTAAGAAAAACACGGTTGATGGCGACTGTTGGCATCAGTAATTGTTGCATGTCGGTGGTCCTGCTGTAGTTTGGTGGTTTGCACAGAGACCTGGCTACATCGAGGTGGTCAAAACACTCAGGATTCATTACCACCCCAGACTCATTAGAGGAAAGTCAGTCAACAGACTACAAGCAGCAAATAATTGTCAGTGTCACCACATTGCTATGAATAGCCGTCATGATGGGTGTGTTTTTTTGGGAGTAAAAAGGGAAAACATGCAAAAACCCTGGACACCACACAGACTCATTGAGTTGGGGAGGAAGCAAGCCTTGTACAAACTGTGTCAATGTGTGGTAATCTCATAGAACAGCCCTGTGATAACTCCTTCCTGCATCGAGTTTATCATGTTTTGTTTTTGTTGAAACTTTTATTCAGTCATGATGGAGGCTGTAGTTTGCGATCCCGATAAACTGTATAGCATTATACTGAGAGTGTGGTCTACACTCCATATAAATACAGTTCCAAAAAAAAAAAAAACACGACATTCAATTTTAGTAGACTCCATTAGGGTTTAGCTTGGTGTATAATGAACGGGCGGAGTGTTTAATGTGTTTTTAATTTAAGATGAAACACGCTTTGTTTGTGTGTCCTTTTTCAGGTGTCGGACTCCGTGCCAGCCTACACGTCTTCATCCTGAATGCTGGTCCAGGAGGTACACGCCACAGCATGTTATTGTGAGAAGACAACATATTAGGTAGGTTGCCCCACAGTTTTCCCAATGTGCATGTTACACAGAGAAGAGCTGAAAGAGTGGCATTCCTCGCTTTGGCTTTCGCTTGCGAAAAGGTTTTATACTAAGTAGTAGACTTAACTGTCTATACAGGAGAGCGTTTGAGTTTTCAGTTGGACCGTGTGGTACTTGATACAACGTTTTTTAGTTGGTTGTTGATATTGTAGGTTGAATGTTTTCTTTACAGAGGAGGCCATAGAAATAGCATGTCATGTATTGGTTGTGTATGTAATACTTCTGGCTATTAGATGTTTTTTTTCATGTATTCAGTTGTGTCAACATTTTCACCCAGAGGTAGTTTTATTTTTAGTTCTCACTGTTTTCAGTCGCATTTACATCAGGTTGGCCCTTAAGCTGTTTATGCAATTTGGAAATGCGACAGTGAAACACAAACTCACTTAGAAAATCGACACCCATTTGTTTCAGGAATATTTCTGGCTATTGTTTCATGTAATTTTCTTTGACAGTCGACGCCAGCTATGACTTATAGTGTGTGTGATGCCTCTGCGACAGAGTGATCCTGCAAAGTGATCTGAGCAGGAGGACACGGAGGTTACTGTTTGTGGTGTATGTCCGAGATAAGGAGGGGAGGGGAGACAGTGACCAGTGTGAAGGACAGACGGCTGGACACCCAGCTGTTGTGCTTTTTTGGATCTCCCTTTCATTGACCACAGAAGAATGAATTAGCCTAGTCAAGAGCATTTTCTGCCTTCTTTAGGAAGATGCTAAACACATTTTTCCCGCTAAACAAAAAAAAACAGCATTCACGCTGGTGGCGATGCATCGTGAACAACACAAATTACTTTTTAAGTCATCTTGACAGAGACACCCTTTGGCTGGTACTTATGATTCTACAAAGAGCATTGCAGAACAGTAATCTTTCTTGAGATTCTTTCATTTTCTAATCAGCCATATTAAGGAGAATGGGTTTTGTACTAGTACTTTAATTGTCCAAAAATGTCTGCTGGCATTTTTCCTAAACTTCTACGGTTTCCTTCCGTCGTCGGCTTTATGAATATAAACAATCAACAATCTTCAGTATAACTTCCTTCGGACACATGTAGCACGACCTATGTGCTCGAGCATGTTCTATGAGTTATTCCCCGTACAACTCACTCTACAGTGGTTGATTTTACTGATTGAGCCCCTTCTTGTGTCTCATACTTCGATCCTTTGTGTGCCTTTGTGACACACTGCTCTAATTGAATCCTGCAAAGCAAACGTATGAGCCAGACGAATCGGTCACTAATCCCTGCGATTAAAGGCCCGTGCGCACTCACAGAGGTGTTTTCAGTTACTCTCACTATTAGACCTCTAGTCAGATGGAAGTTGGATGGCGCAATGTTGTGATTTAAGTGATTTACTGTTTGTATTGTGATTTAAGATTTTAAAATCAGTACAGTAGCACAGATTGAAAGTCACTACCAATTCTATTTTCACAGAGAACCTCCATTGTTGTGTCACCAGCGATGACAAGCCTTTAACCAATCCAATTTAAGTGCTGCGTGAAGATTACAAGCTTAACTGCCACTTATCTGTCTTGGTGCATATCCTCTTGAAAGCCAAGAGCAGCAGACCCATCAATTATTCTTTCTCTCAATAAATGTGTGACCTGAACTGGACTTCTAGCTGGACCTCTGTTTCTCTGTCTGTCAGGAGGACATCTTTGTGGGTGTGAGGTTGCAGCTCTGCTGGCAAAACGCATCTCGTCTCTGTTGGCATTTCCATTTTTACAAGCAATTTAGATGACACCCACTGACACGGAAAGCCTTTGGATGCAAGCAGGAACAAACAGCAGGGTGGTGCTTGGAAGGCCGCCGTAGCTCTGCACCACCCAACTCGCTGAAAATGTCTCATTTGATTAAAAAGCTGAGCGAAAGGAAGCAGTCATTTGCCTCAAAGCATTACATCAGAGTCCACCACAACAATGCATCAACGAATGCCTCTGACTAACAACTTTAGTCAATTCTGTGCCTAAATATCAGATACCGTACTTAGGCAATGTTCTTTAAACCGTGCCACTGACATTTCAGGAATAGATAGGCTGTGTCATGACAGCACAACATGTGTTTATAATGCCTTTCCTGTGTTAGACAATGACAGACTTCAATTTAAGAGAGGTATCTCACGGCTATGTCAATACAGTCTACTTATATTTTATATTATGCAGTTAAATACACTCTTATCAGTAGCCACTAGACTTTAATCTTGTCCCTTTCACTTATGGAGTATGCTTAATTTGGGCAGACAGAGATACATGTTTTTGACCTTTGGCTAATCATACAGTAAATTGCAATGTGAGTTTACACAAAGTATGTTTTTATACTGCCTTGTTTGATTGGTTCATATTGTCTCAGCGAGTCACAATGAAGTCTGCCATCAGGAGCTACTGAGTCTATAGATTATTATTAGCCCGTATTCCTCACATGTTCCTCAGCTGCAGGATCAGTTTCCTGAAGGGATCAGGTCAGCCATTGATTTATCTTAAAGCGGCGGACATTGTCTCACGGGTGGGTCATGGACCTTCTCTTGTGAGCGTGACATAAATACAGAGGAACTCCAATGACTCAGGTCTGTTGGGATAACAGCTGCATGGCATTTACATTTGCCGCGCTTGTGGTGTGGTTTAAGGATGTGGTGAGCAAGATGTCTGTACAGCTCCTGGACAGTTTGCATTAAACATGGAAAAAGATATTCAGGGTTCTCATGTGATGTTTCCTGGTGATTTTGGTGACCTTGTGACAAAATATCCCCAAAGTTTAACTGTGCTTTCTCTGAAAGGACTCCCAAGGCTGTACACTGCCTCTTTGACATGTTTATTTCATGAATGACTTGTAATTCTTCTTGATTTAGTCTGCTCTTCGTACTATGTAGAGCAGGGGTTCTCAAATTGTTTGGGTTACAGGACTTAAAACCCACCTACATTCTTCAGACCTGTTTCATAGTGACATAAACACATCTTTATTTGAATCATGTTAATACCACTTATATACATTTAAACAGAGTGTAAGTTTATATAAATTTAATTTGGACTCAACTTGACAGCTTTTTAAAAAACTTTTCAAGTTGGTGATCTCAAAAGCTTTCAGAAAATGAAAAGAAGAAATACTGGCATAGTGCTAATACATCCAGACGTTTCATGATGACTTCCAGTAAGTGCTTCAAATTTTAAAGTAATGAACTTATTGCTGTGTGTCATAATCGTATCAGAGTTTCTATTGGCCCAAAGCTAATGTGGGTGGGAGTAATGGACACAGGATGCTTGTCCATCTGTAGACATATGCACTACACAAGAATACAGCACAATTATATCATCTTTCGCTAATTATTTCTCGGACCCCCTGGCAGATTGCCACGGACCCCACTTTGAGAATCACTGGTTTAGAGTACCTTCAGAGTACACTTGATAAATGCTATTTCCTACTTGTGCAGTTTGTATATCAGAGTATTGTTACTACTGTTCTCACTGTGAGTCTTGTATACCGTTCCTTTGATGTTATTAGCTACTGTGATAACTGGCCATCCTTATGAAATATTTACTATAAAATACTGTATATGTCTTGTCCTTTTTTTTTTTTTTTCATCGTGAGAAGACCGAGACAGTAGCCCTTTAATCTTGCTTTAAATATTCCCCCTAACCCCAGGGCAGGATGCAGTCTTCAAACCACCGACTGCGAGACATGGAGCAGCACCACCCGCTGCTGTCGGCAGGTGCAGATGTCGAGACGGGAAGTCTGGCAGCCGGGGTGATGGTTGGAGGTCCCCACTCTGGCCACGTAGCTGGGAACCGCACCATGTGGTTCATTCAGGACAGCTGCGGGATGGTGTGTGCCGGCATAACCTGGTTCCTGGTGCTGTACGCTGACTTTGTGGTGAACTTTGTCATGCTGCTGCCCGGCAAGAACTTCTGGTACTCGCTGCTGAACGGGGCCACCTTCAACTCCCTGGCTGTACTTGCATTGGCCTCACATATGCGCACCATGATGACTGACCCGGTAAGGCTAAGTTAAGTAAAGTAAGGTTGAGGGAAGGAGGGAGGGTGAGAGGAGGAAAGCAGAGTTTGAAAGTGCAGTAGAGGAAGAGAAAACGTAGTCGGTGAGTAAGACGAAGCTTGTGTGTCTACAAAACAAACTCCACACTACAACTAGAACGGTGAACTCGGTAGCGGCGATGCACTCAGCGGTGTTATCCGGGGCGGTTAAGAGTCGTAAGTGAGGAGTAAGCACACGCGGTCAATGCCAGTATAAAATAAGTGATAAAAGGCGTTCTGAGAAATTGTGAGTCACTGCAACCATGAGAGGTCCTTGAGCATGCAGCCATAAGTGGGCACCCACAAACATTATGCAGTTTGCTGCAGCAAAATTTGAGATTTGCTGTGGACAGACACAGAGGTGCACACTCACTTAGTCACGGCCGAACGGACAGATAGTCATACACAAGATAATAATTGTTACCCTACATTTGTAGCTCCTGAAACAATTATACTAAATTAATGCTGTACTTACAGTTAAAGCAAAATTAATCATTTTAGGTAAATACTAATTTATTTGATATCGGTGCAATCTGGACAGAGTTTTGGTCAGGAAGAGTCGTACTGTAATAGTTGCATTGGCAGTGGTTGTAGTCACTCACTGTAATATGGGAAGCTGAGCTGAGGGGAAAGATATGTGAGCAGTCTACTAAATTCACCAATTTAATTCGAGAGAGAGAAATTAACTATTTATTTGGAGCCTAACGATGTGCAGACATCCTCTGTGCCCTGTAGTTCAGTATTTTTTGTCTTGCACCTGAGCATATTTTCCTGTATGTGCACACACGTGGTCTCTCTTCTACACTCGTAAGTGCCACAGGGATTGTTCTGCACTTTGTCACTGATACTTTGTGACTATTTGTGAATTCAGCCGATTCATGCTTCGGGGGGGTTGTAGGTCAAATACTGTTGTGCTGTTGCTGCAGTGTTGACTCTTGTTTACTCAGAGAAGCTAGATGTGTGACGACGGCTCCACTGGTGCTTTCTAGCCCGACAGCCCAGCCTTAACAATTGCTCCATTTAAAAGCCCAAAATAGTACACAGAAGGTTGTGCAGCAGTGTGTAACGCTCTAAAGCGCTTACGTTTTTTTGTGCATTTCGCTTTATGATTCACTCAGGTAATGGATCACTTGTAGGTTCCCAGACCAATCAGATTACTTTACATCCAATCTTAATTAACTCCCAAAGACGAGTAATAATTGGGAATGTGTGTACAGGTGGTCGGTGTTTTATGCCTTTTTCACCGTCCTAGAAACATATAAACGATTGTGAAATTGCTGCAAAGAAAAATGCGCACAGCTTGAGTTCTCTGAGCCATAATGGCACAATGCATTTATTCAGACATTTGTACCTGACGGTGTTTGTCTTTGTCTGTCTTAGGGTGCGGTTCCTAAGGGTAACGCAACCAAGGAGTACATGGAGAGCTTACAGCTGAAGCCCGGCGAGGTCATTTACAAGTGCCCAAAGTGCTGCAGCATCAAGCCTGAGAGGGCACACCACTGCAGGTCAGTCTGTGACATGCTCCTTTACCCCCCCCACCTTGTAGCATCCAAATTGTGCTTCTGAAAACACCTGGATATGCACATGTTGTGTAAACATTAGCAGTAGAGGTGACGACATTAACCGAGTCAGTGAGTCATGAATCAACATCTTCTCTTTCCTGGCTGCAGTATTTGTAAAAGATGCATCCGGAAGATGGATCACCACTGTCCCTGGGTCAATAACTGCGTGGGAGAGAAGAATCAGAGATTCTTTGTACTTTTCACTGTAAGTATACAGAAGTACTCGCAGTGTAGTACTTTTTAATTTGAACAAGGGCTGTGGTAAAGTTTATGGATACAGTAATTACTTCATGTTCATTATAATAAATACGTTTACTTGACTCTACACATTGTTTTCATTAACATGTTTTTAATTTTAGAATTACTTAACTGAAATACAGGGACACATGTGAGATGAAATGTTTAGTTCGTGCTCCTTACAGATCGGCATTAATAGAGAGGTTGATCATTTCAAAAAAACTATAGCAAACAAGCACCACACATTGTTGTTGTTTTTTTAACTGAGGTCAAAAGCTTTTAGAGTTTTATTACCAATGTGAAATAAACTAGCCAATAACAGTATCTGCAAACCAACCTAGTGGGATAAGAGTGACCTTTTCTCATTACCTCTCTCCTCACCTCTCTCCTCTCTTTGCAGATGTACATAAGTCTGATTTCTGCCCATGCCCTGGGCCTCAGCAGCATGCACTTCTTCACCTGTATTAAAGTCCAGTGGAACGGTAAGGCCTCTCGCTGGGTTGCAGAGACAACTATGACTTGTGTTTGAGTCAAAAAAAAGACCAATGGAGAATGTCAGAGAGATGAGTCAGAAACACAGCTATTTATACAAGAGATTGAGACTGCTTAGAGATGTGAAGAGAGACAGACGTAGCAGAGGGGAAAAGGGAAAGATATCGCTATCACGTTCGAGAGAACAGAACAAGTCATTGGAGTTGTGCAGCACAATCATCACAGAGCTGCCATTGATCTTGTCCTGCTCCCTTGTGGATCTCTGCAGGAATTAACCAGAAAATGAAGATATTATTTCATTCTTCGTACAGCAGCTTCTACGATATGATGCTTTTTTTGGGTATAGATTCAGTTTTCCAGCTTGTTAGAATCAGGTAACAGTTTTGGGAGGATACATTAGACTTCCAGTCGTATATTGATATATGCATCGGTAATTTAGTCTTCATTTAATTTGACATTTCAGTTGTTCCGTGCAAAATATAAAAACATGTTTCTTCCCCTCCCTCCGTGACTAGAGTGCAGTGCCTTCTCTCCAGGGGTGTCTGTGCTGCTGCTGATCTTCCTCTGTCTCGAAGCCATCCTCTTCCTCACTTTCACAGCTGTAATGTTTGGTACGCAGATCCACTCCATCTGCAACGACGAGACGGTCAGTATCCACTTCACCCCCCCCCCTAAGCTTTGCTCCTCTCAGGTTGAATAGCTAGGAGAACGATGACAAGGGAACCGTAGTCTTGATAACTGTGTTTGGCTCTTCAAGTGTACAGAATATGTTATTAGTTTGATTTAATGCCTTGTTTTCCCCGGTGAGGAAACAAAAGTAGCAATATGATACCCTGTGCGGGTTTTTCCTCGGGTTTGTTAATGTAATTGTGTATGTAGCATGCCAATGAGCCAAAGCAAACAGTAACTTAATGAGGAATCTTTTATTCACAGAGGGGTTTGAATGTCTTGCAGGAGATTGAACGTCTTAAAAATGAGAAGCCCACATGGGAGCGCCGCATGCGATGGGATGGAATGAGAGCTGTGTTTGGGGGATCGCCCTCCCTGCTGTGGTGCAATCCATTCACAGGCCTGCGTCTGCGGCGCCTGCTGCTGTTGACCCACGGTCGCCGCGGTGGGTCTGAGTTCTCTGTTTGAGAGCAGTGGCGGAATGTGACGCCGCTCACCGACACTTGACCGTCTCTAAAGCAACATTTCTTTGTATATCCTCCTCGGGACGGGGCAAGGATGGACCTCTGCTCCCTGAGGCTGTGCTTCATGTGGGTGACGGGGAGACAGGCTGCTGCTCCAGTGGGACCCCCAGTCAACCACCACTGAAAGTTTGTTTTCTCACATGCTGATGTAGACCCAAGTCCTTTTGGTCTGCACAAGTATTCTGACCAACTGGAATATTGTTTCTAACATGAGCAGATGTTTTGGTTTGTTTGTGTGTGTTTTTTAGGTAAAGCATGCAGTATGTGACTCAACAGAGTCTTTTATTCCCTGTGAGACGTCCAAGGTGCTGTTTGAACTCAACTGAACACACCCTAAGTACACAACTCCAGCAGTTTGTTTTCTTTGCTGCGCACACAAGATTCAAGACGAGCGTTTGAATCGGCGACATATCGTTCATCATCACTGGACCAGAGGAAATGCTTGAAACTTGTTCCGTTGGACCCAGACAAAAGGAATCGCAGTCGAGGACCTACACTACTTACATGGCACTTGAGAGAAGGTCTGAATTATGCAGCACAGCGCTGCCTCGATTTGCATGTGTAACGGCTCAATCAGTCTGCATCTCAGCCAGGAATTGAGGCTTTCATTATGTTCAAATGAACGAACGGGCTTTTGTGAACACAAGCCTCATTCATATTCAAGAGGACTGAGTGGTGTTTCTTATCTGTTCATCCTCTTCGTCATGATTTCCTTCATTTGGATGGAATTGTTGATTCTTTAGCTTACTCAGGCCAGTAGAAATATATTGTCCCTTTTTTTTTTTTTAAATAACGTCTGAAGCATCTTTACCTTTCATCTCAGTGGAAACTCCTCAATAGTCGACCATAACAATGTCTCACTGGAGATGACAACTCTTTTACTGACTCTTCATTTAGATTTAAAAACAAATCAGTTTTTTTTATAAGTTGTACATACATGTCTGTGGCCATAAATGTGCCGTTCCACCAATCCTACATGCTGCTCCACGTCTCATTCTCTACCAATGATCAGTGACCCCCCCACCCCCAGACCACTCATATGCCTCCCTGTGTTTTCATAAAGAAGTGATTCAGGTTGAACAACTTTGGCTGCTGAAAAGACCGAATGTTTTTAAGTTTGAATAGTTTTACTCATGCACAGTTTTTTTTCTCTTACAACTGAAGGCTACTTCTGTGTGTGGTAGGAATCCATACGCAAGAACTCTTGTAAAAGACTTCATAGCATTTAAACTAGACCGAGCCGAGTTTCAGACGTGGTGGCTTTGCAGGCACAACCTTCTTTTGGCTCCTTTTGGAGCTCACTCTGATCTCCAGAGCCGAGCTCCATTGTGCAGTCAGCCTGTGGAATTTAAAAAGGGGGCTGCTTTGCTGAAAGAGGCTGGGGTACCGGGCTCATTGTACAAGTTTTAACACTGAACAAAGTCTCGGGGAGCTTTCCTACTTCACTCCAGAAATGTCCGTCCTGAAACATCTAGTGGCAGGACAGAAGCAGATTTAAGTTATCCAACACTATATGCCTATAGAACCACTCAATCAAGGGAGTTTTTCATCTTGAAAGATTTTGTCATTATTGCCATATTTATGTTTTCATTCTGTGACAACTTGTCTCCTATTTTCACTCTGCATAGTCAATGGGCGTGTTTGCACTGGATGGATGTGACTTCAGGATTGAAGCGTTGGACGATATATATACTGCTGTATATATCTGTGGTTATCAGGAGAAGGAACTCTACTGTTTACACTAAATGATGATATCTGATGCTCTTAACATGCTGTCATTAGAATGTAAAACGTATCTATTTTGGGACATATGGGACACAGCACTGAAAGCTAACTAATATCAGGGGATTTTATTACTGCTGGCCTCTCATTTTATTCTGCAGGACTGCATCACCTCAGCAACAGTTTTCTGATTACATGTTGGCAGAATATCCCTTTCTTATTCATGTCATACTTTCTCTATATTCAGCAAGTATCGTATCCTAACATGCTCAATGCACTGTTGTGTAATTAATGAGTTGCACAATGCAAGGGAGAAAAGTTCAGTCAATCACACAGCATATCCATAACAATCATATGCAATCATGACATCCCGAGCCAATGAGAGGACTAGTCTAATACACACAAACGGTTACTTGAGCGAAAACGTTGTCTGAAGTGGGACTTGAAGTAACAGTGGCAAGGCACTAAGGCACTGTTCAACTTTTAGTGGTATTTGTAGGACGTAGCAGAACACCAGCGCTATTTATGGATTGACAAATGTTTCTGTGTTGACTGCATATGAATATTGGATGTTGATTGGTTTATTTTGGGTAAGCCTGGTTGATGTGTACAAGTATTTCACAGTCGGATGGTCCTGTTTCATGACTTAACTCATGCTGTTGTCATGTCTTAATTTGGGATTCAGTTACAGGGTATGTAGTTTTATATTCATGGTCGGCATTAGAATCAATGAGTGATTTTTAAAGGGTTATACCGATAATTGTATTTTCTCCACCTTCTGCTGTGACTTTTAAAATACAATCAACATGGGGAGAGGATTGGTTGACAATGTGCAAAATTGTGTAAACGGATACACTATTTGAACAAAAGTTTTTCTTCTCATACTAGTTTGCAGTTAAAGTGGATTTGCACAGAAAATGTTGAACATTTTGTGTTAATGATTCTTAACGGGATGGATGAATTACCATTAATATCGCTATGAACAGTCGAGAGAGCTTTTGTTTCCTACTGTCCTGGGAGAATCTTTCCTCTAGAACAAAAGTATTCCAGCTTCACAAAGTATAAAGGTTACCATTAACAATATATAAATGGAATGTTTTATTCTAGTTCTTTTTTTATTAATGTGTCATAATCCTATGTCTTATATCCTCAATGTCATTCTTTTGCATAATAAACTTGTGAAGCTATGAATAGTGATTGATTGTCCATCACACATAATTAACCGACATACCATGTTGGAGATCTGCCCGAAGTTTTATTTTTTTTTGGGGAATATTTTATTTTTCCAAGTATTTTAAGAATGCAAGAAAGCATACAGAACACAGTACATTAAACATTACAAAAAATTACATAAGATAAGAAAGAAAAAACACAAATAGATGAAATAAAATTAAGTAAATAAATAATTCCCCCCACCCAAACAAAACAAAAAAAGGTTGGTGCATAAAGTAACACAGCACAAAGAGACTGCAATGACAGTATATATTGTAAATCAGAGCTCTAAATAGTTAGTCCTATGGTACTGTTAGTGTTGTACTTATGTACTCCAAATAAGGCTGCCAGATTTTCAAAAATAAATGATATCTCTTTCTGAGACTATATGTAATCTTTTCAAGAGGAATACAACTGTTCATTTCCACAGACCATTTGTCGATGAGAGTGGGGGAATCAGACTTCCACGTCATTGCGATACATTTCCTGGCCACACAAAGCAATTTCTGCTAGTTTAATTTGGAGCTTCGTTAAAGACGTGTTGAGAGTTGTGAAGTTTCCCAGTAAACACAGCTCAGGATCTAATGGAAAGGTAACCCCTGTGATCTTAGTTATTGTATTACAAAGGTCATACCAAAAGGACCTCACCTTTGTGCAAAGCCGGGTACAGTGTAGGAAGGAGCCGACCTCTATACCACATCTGATACACATTTCTGACAATTCAGGTTTGGATTTATGTAGCTTCTGTGGGGTGAGGTACAGCTGATGAAGAAAGTTATAATGAACAAGTCTGTACCGGGAATTAACCGTTGCTGACAAACTGTTCTGGCACAAATCTGACTAGAGTTCTTCATCAATTGTTATATTCAAGTCTGATTCCCATCTCATCCTGGATCTGTGTAATCCTGGTTTTGGGCCCTCATTCAGCAACAGAGTACATTTTAGAAATAAATTTGTACACATTTCCCTGGTGAAGTAATTTTTCCACGTTAGTTAACACAGGTAGAGTCATTCCAGGGCCCAGGTTGGTTCTCAAAAAGGATCTTAACTGGAGGTAACAAAAGAAAGTTCTACTGGGCAAATCATACTTTCTCTTCAGTTCTTCAAAAGGCATGAGGAGTCCTTTATCAAAGCAGTCTTCGAGATGCTGGATTCCTCTGTCATGCCAAGTCTCCAGAATCTTGTTACTTGGAGTCATGGGCACAAGTTCATTTTGTCTTAGAGGTGTTTTTGGTGATAGTCTCATATTTAGACCAAGAGTTTTGTGAACTTCATACCATATTTTAATAAAATGTTTCAAAATAGGATTGTCTGTCCTCTTGGATATGGTTTTGGAGTTCCATTTATAAATAAAATCACTGGAGGTTTCTTCTTTGAGAGGATGAAATGCAATTTGTATCCAAGAGGGGGCAGCATCACCGTCAAAAAATGACAAAATCTATAATTATTCCTAGATATTTAATATTCGGGAGCCACTTAAATGGGGTTGTTTGTTGGTATTCAGTGTGATCGAAGTTCGTGAGTGGAATAATTTCACTTTTTTCCAGATTGACCTTGTATCCTGAAATAGCACCATAGGTGTTTAGTAGCGTCTGTAATTTAGTGAGAGCGTTAACCGGGTCTGTTAGATACAAAATTACATCATCTGCCAGGAGATTAATTTTATGATTTATTTGGTCCACTCTGAATCCCTTTATATCTGGATCCCGTCTAATTGCTTCAGCAAGTGGTTCAATAGCCAGGACAAAGAGTCCTGGAGACAGAGGGCAGCCCTGTCGACTCGATCTACTCAAGGGAAATGCTGTCGAAGTCTGTCCATTTGTGGTAATTTTGGCTCTGGGTTTATGATAAAGGGTTTTCACCCAATTGATAAACAAATGGCCAAATCCAAACTTGTCCAAAGCTTTGAATAAATATGTCCACTCTAGCCTATCAAAGGCCTTTTCAGCATCTAATGCTACAGCTACACTAGGTTCAGTTTTAGATTTTGTTAGATGGATAATATTAAAGAGTCTGCACAAGTTATTGGCTGATGAGCGTTTCAAAATAAAGCCGCTCTGGTCTGGGTTTATTAATTTTGGCAAATATTGGCCAAGCCTGTAAGCCAGGGCTTCGGAAATGAATTTATAATCTGAATTCAACAAGGAAATGGGTCGAAAAGAGGAACACTTCAATGGATCTCTATTTTTTTTGTGAATCACAGTGATTATGGCAGTGGAGAATGATTCAGGAAGAGTTTGAGTTGTGGATGCTAAATCAATCACATCTATTATAAGGGGGGTAAGTAAGTCCTTAAATTCTCTGTAGAATTCAGGAGGGAAGCCGTCCTCTCCTGGTGATTTATTGGGTTGTAGTGAACATAAGGCCTTTTCAGTTTCTTTCTGAGTGAAGGGCAAATCAAGATTCTTTTGGTCTTCATGGCCGAGTTTCGGCAATTCAATAGTGGACAGAAATTCATCAATCTTAGATAGATCCTCTGGTGATTCTGATGTATATAGATTTGTATAAAACTGTTTGAATGAGTCGTTAAATTCTGTTGGGTTGTGTGAAATTGCACCCGTTTCAGTTTGAATTGCATTAATTAACCTTGAGCTTTCCTCTGTTCTCAATTGCCAGGACGGAATTTTGTGAGCTTTCTCTCCCAATTCATAATATTTTTGTTTGATTCGTAAAATGTTTTTTTCAACTTTGTAGGTATGTAACGTATTGTATTTCAGTTTTTTGTTAACCAGCCTTTGGTAAAGTTCTTTAGACCCAGATTGATGAACCTCCTTTTCCAATTTCAAAATATCTGCTTCTAGCTCATTTATCTCTGCCATATATTTCTTTTTGATACCCTTTGTATAAGATATTATTTGTCCTCTTAGATAAGCTTTTAGCGTGTCCCATAATATGAAACTTTTGGGGGAGGAGGCGCTGTTTGTCTCACAGAAAAATGTTATCTGGTCCTAATAAACTGGCAAAAGTCTGGTCTGTGAAGGAGAGTAGGGTTCAGACACCATCTATATTGGTTTGCTGGTTTTTCTGGCATAAAAATAGATAGGGTCAAAGGTGAATGATCAGACAGCATCCTAGATAAATATTCAGATTCTAGTGTTCTATGAATTAGCTGTGTTGACAATAAGAATAGGTCAATCCTGGTGTGAGAGTTGTGTGGGCAGGAGTAAAAGGAGTAGTCTCGAGTTTGAGGGTGCATCTGTCTCCACACATCATTCAGGTTTAGATCTTTCATAAATGATAAGGTAGTTTCAGCTGCTTTTGTTTTGGATGTTGTTGTTGCTGATTTATCTAATATAGGATCTAAACAAAAATTAAAATCGCCTCCTACAAGTATGTTTTGTTGTCTCCCTGATACCTTCATAAAAATATCTTGAATAAAGGATTCATCATCATAGTTAGGTGCGTATAAGTTTAACAGTGCCCAGGGTTACGAGTAGATTTGGCAATTAACTAGGACATAGCGGCCTGATGGATCAATTATAGTTTCTCCAATTGTCACTGGAATGTTTTCATTTATTAAAATAGCAACCCCCTGGCTTTCGAGTTAAATGATGATGATGATAGTAGGTGTCCTACACATTCTCTTCTCAGCTGTTTATGCTCCTGTGTGGTAAGATGGGTCTCTTGTAAAAAAGCGATATCTGTTTGCAATTTTTTAAGGTGTGTCAAAACCCTCTTCCTTTTAACAGGTCCATTTAGCCCATTCACATTAAAGCTAACACATTTCACTACCCTACTCATTAATACTAAGTGTGGAGCCAGTGTATCTCCTGTGATCAAATACAAAATTATAAACCAAAGCACCAACATTAACGAAGAAAACAACCCCCCCCCCCCCCCCCTTCCCCCAAGTGCCTAATCCTAAACATTTGACACTATCTTCCCTATCAAACTGGGTTGTGCACTTTGCACTTGTCAAGTATGACATGTCTGGCTGGTTCAAACAAACCAGCCCAAGGCTCTGTCTGAAAAAGAGTTTTACAATATGTATAGTATCCAATTTTAAGTGTAACAAGAAATTATAACAAACGCTGAAAACACCCTTTTCTGAAATTATTAGAACGCAAACAGGGTGGATTAACATGAAACCAATCTATCAGAAGTAAATTTAAGCTTGAATTGCTGCCATCACTTACTTTATCTCAACATCTATAGCATAAAGAGTGACGTGCTAAAGATAGGCAGCTCCTGAGAGCTGCCGCTGCGTGTCTGGGTTTCATCCACCTGTTGGTTCTGTCCGCCTGGTCCGTTATGTTTGTCCCGGGGAGTCGCGCAGGAATGCCTCCGCTTCTTTTGGTGTTTTGAAGAATTTTCTTCTTCCATCGGGAAGCGTGATCCTCAGTGTTACAGGATGAAGCAGGGCAAACGGTATGTCCTTGGATCGAAGCTCCCTCTTAACTTGGTCAAACTCCTTTCTGCGTTTCATCAAGCTGGCGCTCAGGTCAGGAAAAAACAACACAGGCTTATCTTCGTACATGACGGGTTCGTTGTTCTCTTTGGACCTCTGTGTGGCGATGCGCAGGATTTCGTTCCGGTCTTGGTATTTAAGCAGGCGTATCAATACATGTCTCGGTCTGCAGGTGGACGGTGTGTAAGAGTTCGGTGTGCTCGCTCTATGATCAGCGGCTCAGTGAAAGGCTCTCGTCCGAGAGTGGCTGGGATCCACTTGGTAAAACAGTTCACAGGGTCGTTTCCCTCGCAGTTCTCCTTCAGGTTAACGACACGTATATTGTTGCGTCGGCTGTAGTTTTCCAGCTGGTCGACTTTCTCCAGTAAAAAGTCATTTTCTTTACTTAGTTTTGGACGCGAGAATCTAGGCCCACCAGCTGGTCCTCTGCTGTGCTAATGCGGTCCTCCGCTTCGGTTATGCGGGAGCTCAGTGTATCCAGCATTGTTTTCAGTCCAGAGATAGATTGGTTAATTTCTGCGGTTTGTCGAGTTTACTGGAGAGAGCTTGATTACCGTTTCGTATCTCTTGAAGAATGAGTGAGTCTTTCACACCACCCAGGTGCTCTTGTGCTGCCGCCGCTATGACATGAACTTCTTCGTCGCTATTCTCGGCAGTTGTTTTATCAATAGATGTCGGAGTTTGCTCATCAGCTGACTTTAGTTGTTTGTTTCTGGTTCCTCGGAACCTGTCCAACCCGGTTGGGACTGAGTTTAAAAAATGTGTCTGTGAATTTCTAGAAAATGATTTTAACGTCATCGCAAATGGAAAATGCACAACCAAAACCTTGAGAACAGTTATTTCTGTCCAGTAGGTGACAGTATAACGGTTATAACGGTTCAGAAAGGAAATAGGGTTGTCCTTGTATTTGATATTCCCTGCACATGAACTCTCAGGAAGTACTCTTTTCCAAAGCCTTTATCAGGTCTTATGATCAGTTCTTGTCTCATTCAGTTAGATTGTGATATTTAAGTTTGACACATACGACGTCATGCCAGTACATTCATATTCAACGCATGTTAAGTCTTACGCTTGTTGTGGCGCCGCACCACAGACGAAGAGCTGCCTGAGAGAAGATACTCAGGGTTTAAATAACAGTACTTCTGCCCCGCCTTCTCCGAGAGATCGTTAAGTTTAACTCCATCCAGTTTCCGTTGATGGTGTAAATATGGCGGCAAAGGAAACTGTAGTCGGCAACAAAGCTGAAGTGGAAGCTACTGTCAACCGCTGGATAGTCGACTACTATTCATTTCTATCGTTGGACTTGTTTAAAAACGAGAAATACGAAGAGTTCTGTACCATTAGAGATTTAATTCACAGTAAGTAACGCACTGCTTCACCGTGTGCTGGCTTCTCACCCGACGAGGAGTTTGTTATGCTAGCTTAATTTATTATGTTCGACCAACACTGTCGTTAGAAAAACATACCTGGACAAACGGTATGTTTCTGTTTGGTAAGAGATCAACTTTTAGGGTTGTGGTATTAATGTTAACTGCTTGTTTTTGCAAATGCAGGCTCTGTTACCCTCCCCCAACTATATGTAGCACACAGTATACTAATTAGCATATATACTTTTATTTATTTATGAAAGAAAAGTCATTCCACATCCGCAATCGTCTGTGATGGTTGACCCACTGAACCATACACCAATATTATGTGTAGATTGTAGAGTGAATTAGACCCTCCTATGAGTATGAGTGTGAATGTATTTATTTGTTTGGGGAATGTCAAGCTAACTCCTTGTCTCGCTCTAGGTGTCTTGGCTCGTCCTTTGGAGTCCTCCGACGTAATGCAAACAAAGATCCGAGTGTTGCAGTTCCTCTCTAGGATAAATGACGGTGAACATCTTGGTGAGATCAACCGTAATTCCATTCATCATATCACTAACTTTGACTATGAAAGTATATCTTTACATCCTAACTGTTGAACCGAGTTCAATGCTGGTAGGTGGTGACCCAAACACCACAGTGAACATTGCTTTGTCTTTGTTTACAGACCTGTTGTTTGAGTCCGATGAGTCACTCACTCCTCTAGAATCAGCCTTAATGGTCCTAGAAAATATATCCCAGGAGTACAGTACATCATTGCCACAGCAGGATTTCAACAGTGTACACTCTTCATTGAAAGAGATGGTAAGTGGGTTTGTGTTATTATTTTTGTCAAATGCATATTAAATCAAAAGATGCAGCTTAATTAAATGTGTTTTTCCTTCTGTCCATAGATGGTGGGGTTGTTCATTAAGAACAATCAGTTCGACAAAGCAAAAGAGGTGTTGAACAAACACTTTCCCAAATCAATGGTTGGTAAGGTGAGTTTATCAACTTCAACAGCACGTTCACTCAATAACTCCAATCAGCATTTAACTTCCTCTCTTTTGGTTTCTGCATTCATGTGGTCATCAGTCGCACTATGAGTGCATTGTTATGGAAAAGCTGCAGTGTCCATTGTAAACACAAATGTTGTGTATTGAATCATGAACATCCATGTGACAATATTACAACAAATGAAATATAATGATTAATAATAAATAAGCTAAACAGATAAGTTTCTAATGAAAATCAATATTTCTTCTTGTGATCGTTGGTATTTATTCTCAGCCATGGCACTTCTGCATTTTTGTTGACACAAGCAGTCTCGACTTATTGACATGGTATGTTCTTCCTTTTTGTATATACGGTTTTATTTATATATTCTATGTACATAAAAGCTAAATCAGCTAATCAGAGCAGCTGGGGGATGAGTGAGCAGCAGCCTCCTCGTCAAACCTCTTGAAGAACCCCTTTTGCTCGCTGGCTCCATTCAAGTCCCCTTCAATCAGCTGATTGTAGTTGATGGATCCCGGAGCCTCCTTAATTTTTTGGTGTGCATGCCGTGTGTGTGTGACACTACTTGATGTCTGTGTTCTCTGCAGAAAGCGATATTCATGGGTCTCATCAAGAAGAAGAGTAACGTGCATGAAGTCATCGAGCAAATCGACTTCCAACGGTTCAAGAAAGAAATGTTGGCTTTTTGCCAGAGTCTCTGCCCGTTCAACGTTCCCTTTCTCCACAAGGTATGTTTTAGGCAAAAGATAAAGGCTTGTTGCATTGAAACATTTATTTTTCTAGCTTTCTTTATGTTTATGAGATATTTCTGCTGAATGATTGAATATTAAAAGTTTCGGTTTGAGATTTTAAAGCCTTTCAAAGCTTCAAATCCCTTCAAAGTTGGCTCCACACACTTTGTGATTACATCAAAAGATCTTTAGAAGCATATTCAGTTGTTAACTTATCAATAGTACTTATGGCCAATAAGAAAGCCTTTCCTGTAATGACTTACACATCTGTTAACCCAATCCACAGATGCACCACTGTTGATTTGCTGCTGTTGGTAAATGTCCTAAGACTTATAATGTGATTCGGTTCATGTGTGTGTAACAGGCTGCCACACAGCTTCTTGATAAAAGGATTGCGGAGCAAGACGTCAATGCCGCTGGACCTGATGAGCAAGACGAAGCAGGTCCCTCCTCCAGTCCACCAGCAAACACCATTCAGTTTGTCCCATGGTAGGCTCTCTCCCTCCCTCTCCATTCATTTCATCATTGGACTGCATAATGGCAGTGGCAAAACGGACACGTTACAGTTTGAAAATGTGACACAAAGATATCCATTGTGTTCCCTGTAGCCAGGTCTTGTCCCTACCACCTCTCCACAGTACAATTGTATGGGAACCTTTCCTATTCTAAGCTAATATGTTGACTGGAGACCCTTCTTGCACCCCATTCGACCTCTTTCTCTTGTCTCTGTCTTATCTACCAGTAAATACACAACAATCCAGAGGACCAGGCTGGAGATGGCCTACAAGGCTTTGTCTGCAAGTTCAGATGAGGGAATATTTGCTCAGCTGGACGACGAAGTGGAGGAGGAGGAGGAGCAGGCGAGAAAGGAAGCTCTTTCGCGGCGCTTCTCACCTGCTCCAAAGGAAGGCACCATTCTGGACTCGGAGCAGGATGGGCTATTTCAGAGAGACTCTGGAAGCCCCATGGAGGCTTCCCCAGCAGACCAACCACCACAAACCGATGCTGTCCCTCAAACAGAGTCGGGTTTGCTTCCAAAGACGCCTCCGGCGCTGAGAAACAGGCACCTTCACACTGTGGCACGACTGGTGGTGGAGCCGGACAGCCAGGGGAGCTCTCAGTGCACAGCAGCTTCACAGGAGCAGGAGACGGATGTCAGAGCAGAGGAGCCACCACAGCCACCGGCTATACCCGATAAAGACTCTCAGAGCCTGGTGGACGATATTGAGGTTTCCAAACCCATGCGGAAGATCCCCAGACGAGCCAACAAAATTTGCAGCAGGTAAATATTTATTTTAAGACGCATACTTTTTGGCTGTATTTAGAAGTCAATTTTTTCATCACAGAATACTACGGAGTCGAGTGATTTGGTCGGGGGTCTGTAATTTCACACATGATAGTTGCGCATGTGTGTTTTCACTTTCAAAATATTTACCGTCTCCACCAGACAGCTTTAATTAATTAGTGGAGATGATGGCGCTCAAGATACTGTCAGGCAGGCGGTAGCTTTGAGCTACTCTCACCTAAGGGATGGAGGCCTGTCTGAGCATGCGACAAGACGAGGTTCTTCAAGTATGCAGGGTATAACACAGAGCACTCATTCCAATAATACTAGTTCTGAAATAAACTATTCCAATAAAGGAATTCATTATTATTTTGTAGTAGTGAGTCCAGTTTGTTAAAAAGAGTAAAAGCATTGAATTTTACAGGAACTGTTCACAAATGTTTGAAAACAGGAATGAAGTCGTCAGTATCGGGTCCCATTTGATTGTAACAACATGACATTGATTGTCTGCGTTTTCCCCAATAATACGTTCCAAGTTCAAGTGGCAAAAATGTTTTTAACGCAGGTTCTGACGACACACAGTGGCACCATATGAAAATATTTTTTTGCACCTAACTTTTGTAGCTTCCTGTTGTTCTGTATTGCCCACTGAGTGTACGGCACTAAAGCTGCTTGTTTTGTCATGCAGAGCCTCGACTAGTTGGGCAGAGTTGTCAGCAGACAGCGAGGAGGACCAGCCTGGCTCTGTGGGAAAACAACACGACCAGTCCAAAAGTTTACTCAGCAGGTGATGGACAATATCACCTCACATAGGGCTGCTATATGGGTTATTACTATGTTGTAATCTTGAGGTATGTTGGTGAGAACACAGGGCTGTTAGGATAGCAGTGACTCATCTTTCATAACTATCAGATTGGAAAACACCGGCACTCACAGATTAAGGGGCTTTTTATTTATTATGGGCTTCTTGCTGAAACGCGTTTGTTTTGTGCCGTAATAAATAAGAAGACCCTTTATCTCTGAGTCTGTTTTCTTTCTATTGATCCTCGCCACTACCGTGCACTTGATATCTTATTTAAGATTTGGATCTGTGCACGCTGCTGCTTCCCACAATTTTCCTTGTTTGACACAAGCTCCGAACCTAATGTATTGAAAAAGTTTGCGTCACGGGAGTGAATGAAGCGTCGGTATAATTTTTAACCTAAAAATCAATCAACAAAACGTTCCAGGAATATTGTGGAACCACAGAAACTAATTTCTGCCACTTTACTGGGAACTATAAGGCACTTTTGTACACATTCTGGTTTGTTATTCCAACATGTCAATTTAAACTATGAACCTTAAAGCAACACTACTTTTGTGATTCACATTTGATTCCACTTTATGGGATCTGGCAGGAAATTAAATCCTCTTTACGTAATGCTTGACTCGGTCTCAACTCTCATCATGGAGTCACTCCACTAAGTCAGAACAGCCTACATCAGACAGTGAGGAGGACTCACAGGAGTCGCCGGCTCTCTGCAAAACACCCGTAGAAAAACCTCGTAGAAAACTGGCCAGCGATCTTCTCAGCGAGCAAGTCCAAATAAAAACGTTGATGTGATGTCACTATGTTGGTTCATGATTCAATGACTTGTCCAACATTTGATAACCGTTATGTTTTCATGCAGGGTTCCAGAAGCTGTCAGTATCATAGATTCCTCGTTGGACTGCTCATCCGAACTGTCCACCGTCCCCCAAACGAGCTCTACTCCAAACAAGGACTCTGCTGAAGACCAAGCTCCTTGCCACTCAAAATGGTTAGTGAACATTAAACCAGTAGCTCAAGCATAACATGAAACTTGTATTTTAAACCTTCACTAAAAGATAATTCAGCATGCATTTGGGTGCCTTAAAGCCTAAGACTGCCACTAATGACAATTTATCTATTAAATGATCAAATTTCCTCCCCAAATTCAAAATTCATTGGTTTTTATTTTGACAACTGTAGTCAATGTCATTGTGTAATGCAGCACAAAGACGGTTGTTTGTTTGTCACAACTCTTTATCAATTAGCATCATGACTCGGGGTGCCTGATAATGTCTGCTCTTGTTCACAGGAAACGGCTGTACAATACTGCAAAGGAGAGCAAGGAAACATGGAGTGATGAAGAAGCCGGTCCCAGCTCCAGAAAGAATACCAGTAATATTTCTGCTTCTACTTAATCCTTTTTTTTTTAAATAGTTGTGAACATCTTGTTCATGTGGTAACTGGTAACATATCTTTGTTTTTCCCCAAAGGAGAGCACAACGAGAGCACCATTTCAAATTCAGGCCACAGGAGGGTAAGCACAACAAGATGTTTGTAATACTCACAAGTCAACAATTAACAAATAATCTGTTGTGGTGCATTTATGTTCTGGCGGGAAGTCTTGAGAATTGGCTACATTCACAAGATAAGACCATCATTCAGCAAACGTATATTTCTAAAAGCGATTTGGTTGATTCTTGTGTTCAAAAAGTTAAACATTTGCTGCCATCCTGCAGCTTTAAGATGTGATTGTTCCAGCACCACACAAGCAGAACAAAAATGTGAGAATGTGGTCAGTTGTATTAACTCAAATAAAACAAGTCACAGTAACCTCGTGTTCCTATTGTGTTGCAGAAGTGGAGTGAGAGTGAGACAAATAAGTTGAAAGAAGGGGTCCAAAAATTTGGGGAAGGAAACTGGACAAAGATCAAAGCATATTACTCCTTCAACGGCCGAACAAACGTCAACCTCAAGGACCGGTGGAGAACACTGAAGAGACTGAACATGATTTGAGTAGTTCAAGTGGCCAGATGGACATTATACATTAATCTCTTGGTACCTAAAATGAAATGTATTATTCTCAAAGGCATTTGGGTTATTCCTCTTATTTATATGTATTTTTCTCCTATTTCTATATCTTATTGTAGTTCAATAAATTTTCAGGGTTAGATTTGTGGAATTAGTCGTCTTTACTTATAGAAAAAAAAAAAAACTGCAAAGGTGTCTTGTATGCATTTTCACTGCAGCCATACTTCAGTAGCAAGCTCGCCAAGACAAAGATATTATGGATTTATTTTAAAGATGACATTTACAAAAGAAGATCACAGATCATTTTGATCAGGAGGCTCTGAATGGGGAATCCTGTAGCTGGGCAGATTAGAGTCAATAGAGTGTGCATTGGAATCATAGGACAGTTGTAACATCTGCTACTAAGACACTCTTGGATCCAACCAACCTCTCCTGATAAAAGAAACCGGCTGCTCTGGGTGTGAAACTCAGTGAATGTTGCCGAGTATGAAATGGGTTGAGAAAAGAAGCCATTGATGCATCTTTATGTTAATGTGTCTTCATTCCGGATGAACTCTCCTACGTCGGCCTGGTGGAACACTACGATGGACATGGGGTCCATTTGCCGACACTCCTGGGTACACTTGGCTGCCACTCCAAAACCCTGAGAAATGAAAGACACGTGACTGAACAAGGACAAATGGTCATATGATCTAAATTTAACTATTCAAGCAAATGCAGTGTTCTGAATGATGCATTATTGTGAAGAAATGCACTCTGATTTAAGTGCCTCTTATGTGAGCAATGATCCCATGTGCATTTTCAGCATGAGTGGCCCCAGGGCCTTCATATTGACCCATATTAGTCGACCACTATATCTTCAAAATAAACTGTTTGGTTTTCTAATCATTGGGAAACTAAATGGGTGAACCGCATTCCAACACACTCATAGGTTGACAAGAAAAACGTTCCGATTGAAAGCGTTGAGGTCACAAAGTGAATGATTTCTGTGAGCAATATGGCATATTTCCAAAGCTTACCAGAGGCACATCTGTCAAGGAGTAGACCACAACTCCCTGGTACTGCATCGTGTTCTCAGTGATTCTCCCAAGCCCAGACTTCAGCACATGGTTCCCATAGAGGAAAGACTGCTCTGATCCAGGTTTCAACCACACCTTGAACTAGAAGACATGACAGGAAGCTTCAAGTAACTCATATATGCATGAGATGAAATGTTTTAATTATATATGTAAATATTTATAAAATAAATAGAACAGGATACATTGTATGCAGAAACATCAGCCATTTGCCAGTAAATTATCAACACAAAACTTTATAATTGAAGGTAGGCCCACCGGGACAGCCTGAGAAAGATACACATGCATACAAAACATGTGGGGCTGTAGAATGTTGATTATTAAATTATTAAAGCCAAACATACAACTAAAATTGCAATTCAAGGATGATAACATTGGAGCAAAGACAATATGGGATACAGAGAACAATGTAAGCATATTAACGTATTATATTGTTAAATACCCTATTGGCAAAACAATATTCATATTGACCATAAGGGTGGCCTTATCTGTGGCCCTCCAGAGTACACTGCTGGCGCTATAAACTTTATTCATAGACTTCATTTGACATCAACGCAAAATGAGGCTATACTGAAAAGGACTCCAACACGTGTACTGCCTCACTTTATCCATGTCCTCGCCGCAGTGAGAAGGGATGCAAAGGATGGCAGCAGAGACACAAATAATATAAATGTAGCACCCATACTGACCTTTGCATAGGGCGCCAGGAAATCCAGAGCTGTGATGTGCAGGCGGAATTTAATGGTCTTTGTGAACTTTCCAAAACATGTTCCCACCGACACGAGCTTGTCCCGAGAAATGTGTGTGGCCAACTTCAGAATCTTCTCACTGTGGAGAGACGATGATATTTTGGATTTCTGAATGATTTGCAATCATTACGGATAGTTACGTGTTGTGTCCTGGATTACCTCATGTAGTACACACGGTCATTGTGCAGCCTGAAACAGTAAGAACCATCGGGTCGGTCCACTAGTAGTTTGATGTTTTCACCGATACTGTTGTGGGAGAAAAGACATGGCTCACACACGCTGGCTAACAAGGATGCTACCATGTTTTTATATATATAATTTGAGTCTTAACAGGCAAGCAAACATGTCCACTTACTATTTGGAAAGCTTCTCAAACATGGTTTTCGTCTCTTCGTCAGTTAGTGGCCTCATCCTGAATATCTAAAAGCTACTTTAATCAGAGAATAGTTGTATCTCTGGCGAGAAACGTGACAACGTGGGTCAACACGGAAACCGTCACACTTTACGGCGGAAGTTGGCTGACGTCATCAGTGAGCGTAGTTCCTGGTTATTTTTTTTTGCATTCTTTAGCTTTCAATCGATCGTTCGTCTTTACTCCGATAAACCGGTCGTCGTCTGGTAAGTTTATTCACTTAAAATCATCAAAACTGTTGATTATGTGTTATTTATAGAGCTGGTGAACACTAACGTGAGCATTCATTTGTTTTTACATTTCGGTTTTTTTGTTGAACATTGGAGTCACACCTTCGAAAAAACGGGTTCAGTTAGCCTGGTTAGCTAGCTGTCAGTGGAAAAAAACACGAACCTGTTAGCTTGGGAGCTAACCGTGTTAGCAGCTGTTAATGCTAACGCTGGTTATCGCTGCAGGGCAACCACCGCGCGCTACTAAAGCTATTTCAATACATTCATAGATGTTACCATCAGTAACTATCTCTGACAACTCTCACTCGGTTGTGATTTTTAGCTCAGACCGGCCGCGTGATGACGGGAGTCTTTGCCGCAGCGGGGCGAAGTTACATAACATTAATTTGTTTGTTTAATAGCGATCACTTGCGTGTGATCTGAGACAGAGCAACGCGTCCGTTTTAAGGGTTTCATCATTCATTTAGATCAACAATAACCACTTCTACTGTGCGCTCAACCTCTGGCTACTGATACAATGATTCACCTGCATTGAGTGCACAGTGTTTAATGTCAGCCAGAATTACAAATAAGGAAATCTACTTTGTCAGCATTTGGCAGATCATTTGATCCTCTCTGTCTGAAAGCAATGATGGCTGAATTAAATGCCTAATACACACACACACACACACATATATATATATATATATATATATATATATATATATATATATATATATATATATATATATATATATATATAATCCTGCTGCTGCTGCTCAGTCATATTTAAAATGTACAACTTATTCATTAAAATACCTTTGAAGCCTTTGCTCCTGATGAACTACTTGTGGGACAGCCTTTATATTCAATTGTATGTTGTGTCTTTAAAGTTACACTCTACGTCTTCACACATGTGACACATCGTGAGTCACCATTTGGAGATCCTGTATTCTACGAGCATTGTTTGTCTCCCATGATATGTCATACAATGTTGAATAGTAACAGGCAGTAGAGGCGGTTTCAGTCGTTTTGTCAGATGCTCCAAATTTTCTGTTCTCCTTTTTTTTTTTTTTTTTTTTTTTTTTTTTTTTTTTTTTTTTTTTGTCTGTCTCTAGATTATTTCAGCTCTGGGGGAGATATTAAAAATGAATTTCTTATAATAGCAGCGGTGATGATAACATCATAATGTACAGTGGAGCATAAGCCGATCAGTGGCCGTGTTTATAATGAAATACTTTGGTGTTCACACAAGTGATGACTAACAGAAGGTAAAGTAAATCATGTTGATCACTTGGACAACCTGTGTTTAGAGTAGGACACTGCTCAGGATCCCACGTTAAACATACAGTGTGCTTTGAGACAATTTTGAGGTCACACCTTGAGAATTGTACAGTAGTTTTTAATATTGTACTACTTGCAACTAATTACTCTATATGATACATTTAGAATACCCCCAAATGTATATGTACAGTAAATGTAACACCATTAAAAGAAGGAACTGTTTTTCATCAGAGGAGCTATATATACACCAACGTCCATGTCGTTTGGGTTGACCTGATTATCTGTCGGTCTTGCCAGAAGAGAGAGCTGCTTAGGAAGTTGCACGCTAGTCACAAAACTGGGTTCTCAATCAACCAGCACCAAACACATGATCCTACTTCTCACTTTTAAATAGTGTTATTAGGTGGTATACATCAACTATGTATCAAAGTATGTTGGCGTTCAATGAATTTATTTTTCCTACGTCTTTCGCCTGTTGACAGGAACGTGCTGCCCTGTGTTGGGGGGGGGGGAGAGTTCTTGTGCCAACGGTACACCCCAGACTAACCAGTGGTCTGCATCTGTCATCAGTTTCCGGCGTGTTTGTGGCAACACTGAACAGGAAGACAGACGCAGAGAGACGCCTCAACTGAGAGCGGAAACTGCTGCGGCTTCTTCGTCAGCCTCAGAATGACTGAGTTCTGGGTTTGTTTCAGCTGCTGCATTGCAGAGCAGCCACAACCCGTGAGTATGAAATCAACTCCAAAGACAAATTGATTTACTCATTTTCAATGTCGGGGTCAAGTGGGGAAAATTTGTCCGACATGCGTTTTAATATCTATGTGAATAAACAGGGCAGTGTACTGGCCCATGTCTTCCACTAGACTCAAGCTGTGACAATAATGGCTATCCACCATTCTCAGATCAAGTTCCTTCGAGGCATTGCAGTTGTGTCGTGCCTGAAATATATATATTACATCCACTTGTATTTACTAAAGAGTAAATAAGAAAGTGGTACAGGGCCCCCAGCTAGCCACATCCTGCTGTCTGACACAACACTTAGAATGAATGAAGTTTATTTTTGTGACGTTGCGCCTCAGTGTAGTCATCCAGTCTGTCAGCTAACAGATTAGATAAAAGGAACCACGAATGTCGACCTCAGTCTCTGTTTAAGCTCCAGGTTCACTACGAATGAAAGAAAGTGTCAGAATGTATATGGGAAAGGGCTGAGCAGGCTATTGTTTACCTCTTCTCCATCCCCTCTGATTATTATTATCTTCCGTTTTTCTTTTTAAAGCGCTTGTTTATGGTACTCATTTTCAGAAACGGCGGCGACGGATCGATCGCTCCATGATCGGGGAGCCGACAAACTTCGTTCACACCACACACGTAGGCTCGGGGGACATGGGCCTGGGATTGGCATCGGTACGTTTTTTTCGTCATCTTTTCGGAATATTCGACAAACAGAATTAAGCAAAAATAAGTTTTCTGTCGTTTACCGTTTACACCTTGATGTCTGTAGGTGGACCTCGTTCAAGCCCAGATGAAATCTAAAGGGGGCTACGTGCACGGAGGATCCGAAGGTTCTCAGTTGTAACAAGGTGAGAGATCCTCTACTTAGTGGAACCACAGAACTTGGACCACAAAGCCACACATGCCCAGTTCAGACTTGTTTTATGCAAATTGATATTTGTGAGTACTTAAAGTTCAAGTTTGTTTTTCAGTAAAATTCAATCACCTACATCTTTTATAATATGAGCAACATGCAGTATGTGAGAAGCTTTATTTCCAACTTCCATGCTTTAACCCAGTGTTTAAATACAAATATAGTTTTTAGACTGGAATCTAAAGACTTCCCAGTTAACATCGCAGTCCCTGACTTGACCCCGCCCATGCTTTTCATAACAAACTAGAAAGCTGCACTCAGAGTTTAGATCTCTGCCAGGTGTGTCTGCAGCTGCCACTGCTGTAAGGCGTTGTAAAACACACTTCATACAAACAAACAAGCGGAGATGTAAGCAGGCAAGACTTGTATGCATCATATAAGACAAGGCAAGCTGGTCTTAAGTAGCCTTAAAAGGAAACTGGTGGACCGCCTCGGCAAATATTTGCACTGTACTGTACATGGTCATGTTTTATTAGGGGACTTCAGCACTCTCCCTTGAAGGAATGAATGTCCTTCCTCTTGATTAGCTTTGTTGTGCTGATAACTACTTCCATTTTCCTTGTGACAGTGACTCGGCGTTCAGTAGAATGTTTTCATTCGTATAGTTTTTATTTGTTAGTTTGGTTTTGGTCTGATTTAGGCAGTAGCATTCATTTCTACTGGCCTCAGGCAACTAACTGGTTAACTATTAATGTTGCCCACTGCCTTGTTTTTAAACTCCCGCTGGATGTTGCCACCGTCACTTTCACTTTCTACTTATCGACCTCACCTGTCTTCAGCCCAACAATATCGAACATGTTTGGAAAAACAAGACGTGAGCACAAAAAGTGACTTCTTCACCCAGACTTTGACTGAACAGGCTCAGATGTGACAGTAGACTATTGTGATTTGGCCTCAACACACACACACACACACACACACACCTCCACTATCAGTAGCAATTGAGATCCTAACATTTGTTCCACTCTCCCCCCCCCTCCCCCGCAGCCCTTCAAAGTCTTGTGGAAACTACTGTTGTTGATATGAGGATGCGTTTTCAAAAAGCAGTTCTGTCTGTAATGGACGCAGGACCAAAAGATGAAACTACTGCTTTTCCATAATGTTGTATATATTTTTATTTTCCATTCCTTTTTTTTTTTTTTAATGAAAGCACTGCTATCCATTTGCTGCCATACTGTTGCACTGTAAAGAGTAACTGTTAAGAGTAGATCAGAGGGTTTAGAAAGCTCATAATCTCAGTCAGAAGTATGCTTGTGTGTATGCATGAGGAGAATATTTTCAAAAATATTTGCTGTTGTAGCCCATTTGGATGCCTGTATTTATTATCTGATTTGTAAACGGACCTCATGGTGGCTGGGCCACGCTGGAGATTTGGAACATTCAATTTCTTTCTTTAATTGTTAGAGGTTTATCAAAGGACAGGTAGAGGTGGCAAGGCAAAAAGCGATGTGTTCATTGTTTTTATTCTGAGAAATACTCATTCTCTGAGTTGCTTTCAGGGTTAAAGATTGCTGTCTTGTAATAAACTTGAAATGAGTAGAGTACACTGGATCATACATTGTACACTCACACTTGCTTAGGAATTCTTTGCATTGATTTCAACTGTTTTTTTTTTTTTTTTTTAATATATATATTCCTTTAGATTTGAACCATATAGAATTTTAATAAACTATGAACGTCTTTATCTGCCTTCTGAAGTCATGTTCATTATTGGTTTTACTTGTGTCGTTTGGCAGCTTGATGCTGCAAATACTGAGCTCTGGTTCCAATGGGATTCATATTTTTCTATTTTACCAACAGTAGACCAAGAATTATACTTGGAAGTAAATCACACCGCGAACGCAGCCACAAATGTGGGCCAGGTTATTTACAGTTGGCGGTATTTTCAAACCTACTGTACCAAACCTACCTACTGTACGTCCATCAATGCCTTCTCTTTGGTTCGTTGTGCTGCTGTTCCTTTTCCCGCCGCACAGTTTGTATTTCACACAGTGTCTTGTCATAACATCTTATATTTCTCTTGACATTAAATCCTTTTTCTTTACGTTTTGGGTTGATCCACCCATGATCTTGGCACAAATGATCTTGTCCCTCTGGAGATCTTAATAGTGTGTGTTTTTTTTGAAAACTCGAATGTCGGACCTCCTAAAGCTGACACGTGCTACTAAATAGCATTCAACCTAATGCGACCCACCTTTTGTAGCAGTGTTGCTTCAATGTTAAAAGATGTTTCATTCAAGTAGAGATCACTTTCTATAAAGGGTTCCTCTCATAGGGGAATGTAAATGAGTGCAGCTCTTATTGCCAGATTACGCTGGTTATCAGTTGTGCTAATGATCAGAATGTGTTATCATTCTCCCTTTTTATTGACTGGCTTTGTCGTCCCTCAGTATTGTCAAATGTAGTCCAAATTTCAGAACCGGGCTCCATTCTTTTTTTTTTAATTTTTTTTTTTTAAATGGTGACAGAGCAGCTGCAGTATGAATATTAAATGCATGGGCCCTGCTACTTGGGGTGATCATCATGTACACACTGCTCATCACTACTCACTGTCATTCTGAGTCAAAGAGTCAAATGTGTGGAGCGAACCAGCCGGCCTGGATTCATCAATACATGACCTTATGATTAAATCTTATGATTCACGAACAACACAATGTGGTGGTATTAACAAGTCAAGCAAAAGTGTTAGTAAATTGGTGTTAAATGCGTCCTATTGTCATTCTATTCATGATGAAAGAGAACATATTTTGTGTTGGTACCCAGCAGCACAAATTACCTGATGAATAGAGTCACATTTATAATATCTTGTTATTTACGGCCTGAAAAGTGCTGGTAGCCATTTTCCCAACACAGATTTAGTTAAGCGATTCATCGTGCTAAAATATTGTCACAGTGCTCATCTGTTCCTCTCTAAATGTTTCTGTAGTGATTCCTGTGTGAAAAGAGATCCACATGTGTGTAGACTAGTTTGTGTTTTCCCAGCTCTGTGCAGAATGCTGTGGCGTGTACGACATACTGGGGCTGCAGTATATCATGTGACCAGCAGGCTGTGCTTGTGGACTGGTTGAATGTGACTTTAAAATTCGTTTCCTTTTGGGATTCTTGTAATTGGACTTCTTCTATGATGATACTGTAAATATGTAACATGAAAGTAATGGATCCATTGTTTGTATGTATTCAGGGTCATGCATATTTTAGGCTATTTTTCTGTACACCATCACTGGGAAGGCAGAGAGTTGGAGCAGTGTTTTTGTTGTTCGTTTTGTTTTTGGTTTTTTTTACTTCAGGAAGTCCCTGATTTAAGGGAAGTTCATCTGTCTTTTTTTTTTTTCTGTATTTTTCAGAATAAGCAATGAGAAATAAATGTTAAATGTTGATGTTTGACCAACTGTGTGTTCCATGTTTTCACTTCGAGCGAAAACTCCCACATCTATTGGGTGAGAGAGGGGAAGCTCATTCTGCAGGAAAGTACAAACAATGAATACCAAAAATACAAAAAGGGTTCTTCTCAAATATTAAAAGGTAAAAGAAGTGCACCGATCATTTACTTAACTAGAATTACCAATACAACAATGTGGAAATACTCTCCTACATGTGAAAGTCCTGCGTTCAAAATCCTACTTAAAATCACCCCTCTGCTGAAAAGTGGCCCCTGTGACTGATTAATATTTTCCTATGATATTGTAAGTATCCTTCTACTGTTGCTGGTTGAGGTGGAGCTAGTTTTAACTGCCGTGGATAGTTAAGTAGTTTAGTCAAGTGGCACATAACCTGGGGGTCTGGGCCCCTCAAAAGTCTCACAAGATATATTTGAGGTGCTGGGAAATGATTAATTGGAGATGAAAAAAGAAAACAAGGTTCTCTTTTTTTTTTTTTTTTCTTTTTTTTTTCTGCTTTTTGAACATTTAACCGCTTTGGGCCTTTGACCGTTATTTAAATTAAACCGTCTGAGAAGTTTAGAGGGGAAATATCTCTCTGGTGCAACTGCTAACAAGTCATTGACATCAGAAATGTAGTTTATTGTGTTTTTTTTTTTTATGAAAACAAATTAAATGCTAACTATGAATGTGGAGTAAAAAGTACAATATTTCCCTGAAATGTATTGGAGTGGAAGTAGGAAACAAGAAGAAATGGAAATACTCAAGTAAAGTACAAGAACATTAGAACTGTACTCAAGTACTGTAACTGATTAAATGTACTCAGTTGCTGTCTATCACAAACAACTGTATTCATGTCGGTTTGATATCAAAAGCCAGTTCTTTTTGTATTAAGTCCTAGCTAACAGCAAGAGTCTCTGCGCACAGGCTGCATTCCATTCCGGTGTGTCACTTTCAAGGCCTTGGCATTGTGCTGAGGTGACGTCAAAGGAACGGACTCATAATTAGTGTTATTGTTTGCACCTGCTGTGACAAGTCAAAATGTCTCCCATGAAAACGGCTCGTAAAGTACAAGCACAAATAACAAGTGTGAAAATCTAGGTTTGGTCAGTTATAAGCAATAAAGTAAGGCTTTTATCATAAACGTGTACTCTACTGTTTATTGACCTGACATTCCCTATATGCTGAGCTGTCAGCAGCCTTTAAAAGCAGCTTTTAAGAAGACTAAAGAGGTTCGATTTCAGTCGATTTTATCATTAACTAAACCAGGAAGTGTGAGTAATAGATTTTTTTGTCATAGGGCGAGTCTGACAACGTATTTATTAATAGTGAAGCGCTAACAACAAATAGTATTTTATTTAATTACTCGAGTGTTCTGTGCTGTTGAAAAAAAATCATTCTTAAAATGTTTAAATGTGGCAAGTCAAACAATAAGGGCACATTACAGTTTGGCTTCTTTGTCTTTACCACATCAGTTGACAGCAGTGTAATAATGACGGTGGGTGACCGCCGAATATCATTAATTCCACTGCTGGTTATACAATTTATTGAAGTGATACACAAAAGTCATATACAGTACGTATACACAAGAGTGAGAGACCCATGACAAGGTAATGTGCTTCAGTTGCTTTCACACTTTGTAAATGCACGATTTTTTTAATAATACAAAACGAACAGGTTGTACAATGTCACATAAAACAAACTGCATCATGTGCTGCATGAAAATACACAAAAGTGAGTATATGTTTTAGAAGACTCGTTAAACCAAAAGCTGTTCTGCACTTCTTTTACTGTATGTTGGCTAAATATCCAGTAGAACGAACGAGAGAGTAGAGAAATGACTGATCCTGCACTAAAGCGAAATGAGATCTGTTTACTCTGTGAGCTTGGTGTCATGTCAGTGAGTTTGAGTCACTGAACCATAGTGAACCCATGTGATGATGACAGAGACAAAGCTTGGCTTGGAACAGGATCTTCATCTCAGCATGCTCAGCAGAGAGGATGGCCGACCGACCGACTGACTGACAGAGCAATATTCTCCGACCACCCTGCCTCTCTTGTTTCCCTTTTTCGGTGGTCAGCTCAGCAGACAGACGGCAGGAAGAAATCAGCTGAAGGTTGGCAAAAAAAAAAAAAGCAGGAGTAGTCGTCATTTGGTGTACAGCTATGGCATCAGTGTTTGCTAGTGCATGGACCAATCGAAGAGCTCCTTGACGTAGTTTGGACCAGACGGATCACTGCAGTTCTCTGTGTGCAGAGAGTACAGGTTATCTTCACCAGCACCTGGGGAGCAGAAAACATGTAAAGCTGAATAAACATGCCAAGATGGGAACTCTAAGCTATTTTAAGCATTATAGGATTTTATTTATCCAACTGCAGCTTTAATTATCATATACACACATACACAAAGACAGACATTTGGCCTACACATCTAACGTACTTATGTAGGTTTAGATGGGTAGATCTTTGTGGCTTGGTCAACTCAGAAATATGTGCTTTTATTTCATCTATGTTGATCTTTCTCACAGCAATAAAATGCACATTTTGTCTTTAATCGGCATATCTTTTTTGCAGGACTGCATTCATTTGTGAACATGATGTCAACCTGCTGCTGATGCAATCTGACAGATTTTTGAATTACCCCGAATTACACAAAATAATAAGAAGACTTTAGAAGTTATATGCCGTCGTACAGTGCCAGTGGTCCCACAGTGTGTGTGTTCTCCATCCTCTCTGCTCCCCAGTCTGGTTCCAGCCGTCAGTGTTGCTTAAGTGGTCCATCAACTACGGGACACAAAACACTTACAGTCAGTCAGACAGATACCTGGAGCACCACCTACAGAACCCAAACTGCATCCCAGGAACATGCAAATGATCTCTAAGCAGTTAAGTCAAATAGGATGCAGTTTCATTTCCTCCTCATTTTTAGTTTTCGGTCATTCTGCCAGTGAGAGAGTCTCTACGATGGTGTCAGCCACGCAATGTTCAGACAGTCAGTACATGAAAGGTCTGATACCTTAAACACAGCCTCATTCTGCTCCTGGTCCTCCAGTTTGGCCTCCCACGTCCCTGAACAACAACAATAACTATCATTGTCATCAGGCTCCAGAGGCAGCTTCTTTTATAATCACAGTCAGAACAACAACAACACACTTTGACAATAAGTGTCTCACCATGCATTTGCAAGTTGCCAAATGTGTCTTCTGCAGGGGTCTCCACCTTCTGCGGTGTGTCTGAAATGGGTCTTGTTGTTGTGGGTTGCCAAGCATGCGTGGTGTCTGTATCATCACCTAAACTCGCCTGTTTTTCTCGAGGCCTGCTGAACAACCGCAACCCTTAAAAAAAAGGGGCAGTACTGTCACATCAGGTCTGTCTGAGAATACGTCAGAATATTTTGACCTCTGAAGAGAAACATGCATTTTAAAATGTCTTACCTCTCCTGCGTCTGTGTGTTTGTGTGCTGGGCAGCATCCTGTAGACTCGGTAGGCATTGCTGCCTCTCTTCTTGCTGTGCTCCTGCAGCTCACAGATGTCAGGCAGGGAATTCAAGGCACAGCGGAAATTTGCCTTCCACGTCTTGGGATCTGGCTTGTCTTTGCCTGGACGGTATCGTCCTGAAGTAATCAAGTACAAGCATTGGTCTAACACAAAGGAATATGACATTTGTAAACACACAACTAAAAAAAGGATTTTGATGCATAAATGCACTTCAATTCGGGGCATTTAAGATGAGCGAATAAAGCAGGACCCACCAAGGGGCCCTTGCCAGTTGACAAATCAGCCTACCTGAAAAAGCAAACCATTGCCATTGCCCAGCAATACTAAGTTGAGTTAAGTGAAGAGTAACTTATCGTAGCACTGGGCTGAAAAGCAGGAATGACTGCAACAAGTTAAAGTGTGTTTCACCTCTGACCACGCTCTGGCTGAGATTTAGTGTGATCAGAGTACTTTGCTGCACCTCTAACCACACGCAGCAGTGGAGTCACCGTGTCTTGGAGTGAACCTGTGCATCACTGCAGCAAGGGGAGAAGTTTAACCACTGGAGGTCAGCAGAAACAAGACTTTTGATGGTGCCTTACAGGAGAGTTCCTGTGTATTTAAACCTCGTTTATTACTTATAAATGTGTCCATTATGACCCTGTTATATGGTAAGTTTTCATTCGCCTCCTCCATTGTAGAGACTGGCAGAAACTATGCGGACTGAAACATCACTGTAACAACTTGAACTGTGTTAGCTACCATCAATCATCAAGTGTGTGACTTCATCCAGTGTGCTGAGTTCTCATATTTAGCAGCACGGTGTGATTTGGATCTTTGCAAGTCCTCTGAATATAATTACCAGCTTAAGTAATAAAATCACTGGAGCTTCAACAGATCCACAAAGGATCATTTACAGCCGACAAGGGCCAACAGGAAGAAAAGGAGCACAGGTGCAGCAGCTATATTACACACAAGTTGCAACCTCCCACTGTCATTAATTACTTGATGAGCCAGTGATGGTTCAGTTATATAATCTGTGTACTTTATATTTCACTGAATGTTTTTTTTTTCATTATAGCCTAATCTCTTGAATATTGAGCTCAATTCTCATTCTCTTTTATTCAACTGCTGAATATGCTTTTTCTAGATTTGTGAAGAGCAGTTCTGTTTGTACTTTGACAGCAATACGATCACCTTGCACACTCGCAGCAACTGAACTGGAGCTTTCCCATGATGTGATGCAGCTACAATCACAAAGTGTGACTTTTCCCAAGAGTGTGTGTGTGTGTGTGTGTGTGTGTGTGTGTGTGTGTGTGTGTGTGTTTGTGTGTGTGTTTATGACGACTGTACTCAAGTCCTTACTCATAACGTACAGAAATTAGATTACTGATAGAGCAAAAACATGTGGTTATGAGATTATGAATATAAAAATAATAATTATAAATTAGAATTAAGTGTATATGTTTCTTATTCTGTGGATTCTGGACACATAGTCATCTATGTTTATTTTATTTTACTCTGTAAATTGCTGCTGCTACAAACTAATTTCCCCCTGGGGATGAATAAAGTGTATCTATATCTATCTATCTATATCTATATCTATCTATCTATGTCCTGATTTCTTAGAGAAAATGCAAAATACATGAACTGAAAGGTTTACTGTACATTTTGGGGGATTTTGAGTTTCACATCTTGTGAACTTTGAATTTAAATGTAAATACAAATCCAAGCATCAGCAGGGAGAACTGGGTTGGAAAGGTTTTAGATGTGCAGTGTTTGCAAATGCTAAAAGACACAGCAACAAATTAATCATCTTTATACATGTTTTTTCCTATGAATTTAGATTATATATATATTTTGGCATACACTGGTGATATCTAATACTCTTGTGCAATTCTCATACCTCAGCTGGAAACTGGGAGGATGATATGAATCTAGAACATTTATAAAGAAGTGGACTGAACAATACAACCGTGGCTGCTCCACTGGAAAGATTTGAGCAGGACACGGGTCTGCCGGCAAATGTCTTCATGATGGTTGTAATAACTTCCAACATTCAGTGGAAATGACCAAATGCCTCAGATACTCTGTTCTAAGGATTATTCTTTGGACTTTTCTCATGAAGGAAGTCATCCAGTAAAACCAATCTTTTTGAGGCGTTTTAATTGACGGACCCCTGACCAGAATTGAACCAGGAACACTATGAACACCAGGACACCCTTTAAAAGTTATAGAAACTAATGCTAAATACTAAGTGAGGCAAGAGTTTTAAATAAAAATCCTGAAATTTCTGTTTGTGTAAACACAGTAAATTACATTTAGCATTGATTAATACATTTGACACCCATGATGTATTTTGACATTATTAAGATATTATCATCACTATCATAAGATTGATTTCTACCATGTTGCCTGGATGTAGTGCTGTGACCCAAGCAGTCCATTCTGTTACTAGAGATCACAAATATAAACTTGGTATAATAGAGTAAGTACAAAATCAGCTTTTTGTGGTGTTAATAATTTGTTGCTCTGCATTATAGCATCAGCATGCATGTGTAAATGTAGGAACATAACAATAAGTATCAGGTAAAGTGCTTGGATTGATAGAATATGAGCTGGGCAACCCAAGATACTAAAAATATTCTGAATGGACTAAGGGGCCATCCAGCTGGAAACAAATCACATTTGTATTAATGTGGGGCTCCTACCAGTGTGCATGGCCCAACTCCTGAACAGTGTAGCATCTCGGTCAATACTCCATCCATGACGAGCGGCGTGTATCCACGGGATTTGGAAGATTCGTGCTGACTGTGGAATAAAATAAAACCCCGGTAACACGGAATACATTGTTGACAGGAATATTTCATGATGCATTATTCTCTGTCTGCTGCCCTAAGTGATTTCATCTACAGCAAAACTTTCTGCACCCAGGCACGCATGGGTTTGTCTGGGATGAGGGTGAGATGGAGGGGTCTACCTGGTCCAGCCAGCTGACTCCAGGATACCTCCCAGAATGAATCTGCTGCTCCAGCCACGGCCTCAGCCTCAGCCGGCCTGGTTGTTGCATGCCGCAGTCCAAGCTTCAGGTGAGCAGAAAGGTGGAGATGTGTCAGCGGCTGCACAGGAGTTTCAGTAATAACAGAAAATTTCTCAGGAGCTCAGATTTAAACTGAAGTGACTCTTCCTCCCCTTCCACCCTCACTCCTCCGCTGCATTCTTCCAACCATCTCACAGTTATGACAATCCCTGGAACCCTCCAATAACTTTCCTCGCTGCTTAAGTGGCTCCTCCAATTACAGGAAGTACTGTACTGTATGTTGATCTCTTCATGGCAGAGACTGAGGTGGAGTATGATGAGTTGTGAAGGTCCTTTTAATGCTTTAATGTCCCGTTTTAAGCCACCGTTAACACTTCAAAGCCACCTAGTGGGTGCTAAAAGTTTGGTGATCATATGGTTTATCATGTGGTTCCACATGAAGCTACTGGGGCAGCAGTGAGACAGTGTGTATTCATGTAAAACAACCAGGTGGAAGCAGAGTTCAGAGAATGGGACAGATGAGCAGCTTTGCATGTTGCAACAGTACTTTTACTTTTGAAGTTTATATGAAAGAAGGTATTATTATTATAGGTATTATTTTTCTGTTGAATTAAGCAAT